TCCCTTTGGTCTTCACAACTTCCCTTTGATCTTCACAACTTCCCTTTGATCTTCACAACTTTCCTATGATCTTCATAACCTCCCTTTGATCTTCACAACTTCCCTTTGATCTTCACAACTTCCCTTTGATCTTCACAACTTCCCTTTGATCTTCACAACTTCCCTTTGATCTTCACAACTTCCCTTTGATCTTCACAACTTCCCTTTGATCTTCACAACTTTCCTATGATCTTCACAACTTCCCTATGATCTTCACAACTTCCCTTTGATCTTCACAACTTCCCTTGATCCTCACAACTTCCCTTTGATCTTCACAACTTCCCTTTGATCTTCACAACTTCCCTTTGATCTTTTTACTGCATAAAATAATCAAATTGGCTGATGAGTGCAAAGTCTCTATGAGTCAACAGCAATGGAGTGTTGTTTTCAGAGTAAATAATTTTTGGTAGATTCTGTTGACCATAATGTGACTTGTGTTAGGTTAGCTAACAATTACGGCAAAATTGCACCAAATGCAACATTTGTATAATCAAAATAAAATGAAAATGAAAATGTGTAAACAATTTTTTTCCAGCAATAATAAATGGTTTTTACTTTTTAAGGGGCAGGTTATATATTTAATTATAAGCATGAGGAATTCATTTTCACATTGAAAAAAAAAACAAACCTTTGTTAAGGCCAAAAAAAAAGTCTCCGGTTTCTGGTATGGAGCTTGCCCCAAAAGTGGTGCGGCGACACGGCCTTTTTTTTTTTTTTACCTGTTTTTTTTTTTTTTTTTTTGGCTTCAAATGTCGGCTGATGACTGCAAATGGTGCCCGACTAAACTTAGTGCAAATATATGGGAGTCCAGAGAGGCCACATAAAGCTTATTCTCGATCATAACCCCATCTAAAAACACGTTAAAATTGTGCAGCAGCAGGATTCCAGTCAAACCAGTGAGTTTGGCGGTTTTGAGACATCATCTTGTATTGAAAAAAAACGCGCGCGCATAACAGAAACCGGAGACTTTTTTTTTTGGGCCTAATGGTATTTTTCATTGGATGATTGTTTCGCATGTGTGCCCCCAGCTATATCTTGGTGATTTAATTTGAGGTGTGGCAGACGGAAACCAGATTGGATCAATGAAAGTCAGGCCTGTGTGAAGTCTAGCTTTGACAGCACATACTATGCACAGACAATAGACAGACCTGTTTGGAGACTAGCTCTGATAGCTTCCTCTGACTCAACCTCTCTGCATTCTGATTGCCTGTAAGATCTGTCCCTTCCACTGGTGCCTGTGCATCTGTACACCAGCTACGACCAGGTCAAACTGAACCTTAAAAGATATATTAGAAAATGATTTTAATATGTTGGAGGAAATTCATCTCATTCTGATTTAAATAAAATATCGCCTTAAAAAGCTCTGCCTTCAACTTTTGCTGCCAAGGAGTTCATATTGTTGCGGTTGAAATGATATGTTTCGGATATCGCGTGAGCATTTTGGCTTTCTTTCTGAAAAATACCAGCAATAACAATGTACAAGCTCTTTCCAAAGACAATAGCAGTTCAGACTATATATACACTCCGTCTGAATGGAGTACTGGTATATAACATGGAAATCTTGATCTGGTCATAAAATAGTGCAGAAATTATTGCAGAAACGCAGCTGAGAAACCAGTCACAAGCGCTTTACATCCATAAAATCATGAAATTGGCAGATGTCGACTTTCATGGGTCTGCTAAGCACAGACTGTGCTATAGGACTAAGAGAAGCAAAACTTTTTTTGTGGAAAAAACAGGTTACTGGTACAACTTCACCAGCCAAAAGTCTGACCTGATGTTTGTCGCTTGGGACTGGCTCTAAAGTAATTCTTATTGAGGAAATACTTTGGTAATTATAAGCAATATTTCCTGCGAAGCACTGGCTCCATGACGTTGAGGCAATTTCAATTGGCTCTGATGGCCCTCACAGCGCCCTCAACAGTGCATGCAAAGACACATTAAAACAAAAGTTCTATTTAAATGTTGATGACAAGGTTCAAGCAAAAGACTTACCCTGGCTAGCTGTCTCGGTGTCAAGAACGAGCTCCGCCAAGCACAAAAAGTGGGATGCACGAGGGAAACCCATGACATACATGTACATGTATTGGGTGCCAGCTGGAGTGGTCAAAACCTTCAAGGCAAACATGACCCATTGAAAAAGGAAACACATTAACAAATTCTCAATCAACAAATGAAGTTCCTGTAGAATTATCAGTAGGAAAACTTAATGAATAGTTGAACATATAGCCTAAAAATATTTTAAAAGATACAGATAGGATCCAATTAACTACTACGATTAAACATAGGTGAAAGGTAAAAAAAAAAACCCAGATATTCCTTTAAAAATAATTATAACTCAAGGTATCCCCTAGCTCTACTGAGTGGAGCGCTGGAACATCGGTACCCTAGCACTGCGCTGGAACTTCCCGTACGGAGGGTACCGAAGTTCCAGCGCTCCACTCAGTAAAGAGCTAGGTATGTCTACATGTAATTGGACTTGGCATATCTACATGTAATTAAAGATGGAACCTGTGCTACTAGACATTGAGTGATACAAAAATTCTAAATTCTGGGCTGTTTAGGCCCCAACTGAACATGTGCAGCGACAGGTTTTTTTTCTATAGTAACAAATCTTTGTCTGGTTTCATGTACATGTATTGTCGTTGTGACTTCGTATGACATTTCAGGGATTTGAACCAATCCTAGCCATGCATGGTACATTGTGTCTTAAATATTTCAGTCATATTGGCACCCTTTAATGTTGATGTACATTGTATTATCTTCACTTCAACTTAAAGATAACTTGGATGCAAGAGTTTTGAATCAAGATGTCCCAATAGTCCATAGAATGGTTTTTACAATTTTGGATAATTTTCATTTCCAAGTAATGATCCTGATCTAAAATATTCCATCTCAAACTTGAGAGCCTGATCCCCTGGTTACACATGTGAAATACTGGGGCAGAAAATTTCGTAACAGGGGATTTAGGAGTTAAAAAAAGACAGTTGTCTGCCACAGCACCTTATATTGATCTACTGTACTAACCTTGGTAGTATGAGGTGATATGACAATGGTGACTGCTCCATGTTCTGACACCCCTATATATGTTCCGACAACCTAGATTGTGTTACTCTTTGTTAGGGTTAGGGTTAGGAATAGGAATATGGGTTAGGAATAGAAATATGTGCAGTCGGAACATAGGGGTGTCGGAACATAGAGGTGTAACCATGACAATAACACTGCAATAGAAAAAACTAATATTGTGCAAGTCGAAAAGAAACAAACTTTATAAATAGTGAGCTAAATTGAAACAATCATCAGAGTGATTCATTGTGTATATTATGCCAAAAATAAAGGAAAATTGCTTACCATGAAAATTGAAAGGAACAATCAGGAGGCTATAGCCTAGGGCAGTAGGAATGGATGGAGCATGAATGCACACATGGAGGAACAGACAATAAAATAATGCTGGACCAGACCACCCAGGTACCCGGCCCATCCTGTCCATGGGGTCGCTCCACTTTCAGGAAGGGGGTCTCACTGAATAAAGATAACAAAATGTGCTAAGAAAAACCAGAGGTGTTTCAGCCTAATAGAGGGGCAAAAAGAACATACTTAAAAAGGGGAAAAACAAACAACACTAGTCAAATTTAGGCACAACCTTATATACAGTCAAAAATTCAACACTAGTTTTTATGCAACTTATTCAGCAACTCATATTAATAACGATCTCTGTTATAAATGCAGAAAAGAAGCTCACTCAGGAAGAACACATTACGGGGGCAAATGATTCTGACGGGAATTTTGCTTTTCACCAGCATCATAAGAGTGTATGCTTTCTTAAGTGGAACTTGAATTCATCACACTGTCTTTTACTTTTGAAGGATGGTTTCTAGAAACATTTCCCACTGCCTATCTTTTTACTTTTATCAGGGGAAGTATTTTAGGTTAAGGTAATGATGCTCAGTTCAGGAAGCTGCATAAAAGTTGCATGAAATTCAAACTACATTATAATGTTTGATCCCACACATTTTATGCTTTCAAATATTTGAAAATGAAAGAAAAACTTGTCTGCAGTTTTATACCTCTTCCCATTTTTACAGCAGTTAATGTACATGTACATGTTAATTTTTGAAATGAGGGACGTTAAAATAACCCTGCACATGCAGCAATATGTAGCAATGCAACTAATACATTTCAACCATTTTTTTTTTTTTTACAATAATTCCCCTTTTAGCTTGTCGTGCCCATAGTTTCACCTGCAGCCCTTCGTAGACATAAAAACACAAGAAACCCACAATAAGCAATCAGTTACAAAAGTGTCTTTATTGAACTATATTGCCATACAACAATCTCATATTTTTAGATGTGACATCAGACATAAAATGCAAGATGCACCCCCCCCCCATTTTCTTCGAAATACATTAATTTCATATCAGGAATAAGCATGAAGCTTAACCTTCACTTGAAATTTATCCATAAACACAAGGTAAGTTAAGGAGGAAGTTTCAGTACTGTCTTTTGAGATGAAGGAAAATGACCCCCAAAAAATCCATCTGGAGTATTGCAGCAAGAAAGCAACAAGCAATCTTTAGTAATAAAATAATGTCAAACATCAGAATCATTTCACACCAAAATTTGTTTTAGTAGTCCTCTTTGAATATATTCAAAGAGGACTATGAATACAGAACAGCAATAATGCAACCCTCATTTTGGTAGAGTGGTCCAAATCCATGTTAACTGTCTCAATCACAGAAAACTTACACGACAAAAATATCATATATGTTGTGTCCTAACTTGGTGAAGCCTTTATTTTAAATCAGAGATTTACACTGACAGCCACAAATTACCGAAAAAAGAATTAGATTGATTTGCTTGAAATACTTGTGTATCATTAAATCCCTCTCTTAATTGTGTGTGACACAAGACAAAGAGAAAAACCCACACTAGACTACGTCAGCCTGCTATGTCAGCATTACGCTAATGATGCGGGCATTCAGTGCATAATAAAGGCAACATTCATCTGGCAATAACAAACATCTGACCCATTGTAAACACTATACAATGTACATCATGCAATATGTGATTCCTGATATTAAAAAGATAACAAATCTGATTTGTACTGGATCAAATGATGGCAAATTCATGATTTTTATGATCCGGAATAAAAGCAAGGCAACTTGGCTGCTATAAAATGTACAAAATTATTGATACAAAATAGAAGTTATAGAAATGGACAAATATGACTCACTTTGCCCAAACTTCAGATGAACAAAATATTTGCAGTATTTACAATTATACAATTTTAGCGATAATACTTATGGTTTGATTTACAAAGCCAAAGCAATTTCAGACATTTACTGTAATTGGATTATTGATTTCCATGGATACAACTGTTTGAAAACAATTAAGAAAGCATAACATTTCAGATTCTGGCAGGATCTTTCACACAGCAAGGCAAAAATGACAGTGGTACAGAAACGAACAAGTAAGGGGCGCACAAGCATGCAAGGGTGGAAGGAGAACACAGAGGAGGATGGGGTAGGGGGCTGGGAGGACCAAAGGAGTGTGACAGTAGGTGAAGATCAAAGGGGCTAGGGGCGGGGCAGAGGAAGGAACATATTGTAGCGCAATTCATTTTAGCGAGGTAGTGAGGGAGCACCTCATTTTTTTTGCTGGTAGCCAGCGGTGTGCGCGTGCTCTCGCACAGGGTGTGGGGGCACCAGCTCACAGTGCGCGCCCTATAAAAGCCGCCACACACTAAGCGTCGTTCTCTTTTCCACGGTGGCTGCTGTATAGAGAGGGAGTCTTTATACCAGTGTGTGTGGTGGATAACCGTTGCCGTCCTGCCAAGTCCCTAATCAATCAAATCATGTCAATCATTATCTAACTGAGTCACTTTGGGGGAGCCTCATACTTTGTGTGGGTTAGGTTAACGTAGTCAATTCACTCTTATAATTCCTGAATCAATAGTTGGAATACAGCTGAGTAGCCTGTATAGGTGAGGGATTCACAAGGCGCCTAGGTAGGCGAATATATATAACCTTTAGAATCATAGATCTGGTGTCCGAGAGGTCCCCATCCTTCCCCAGTCCCCCTGGTCAGTCCGCTTGGGTGGTGTCACAGCGAGTGTGTCAGGTGTTCTTTTGGTGGTGTGCTTTGGGCCTGGCGGTAGACTTCCGCCAAAACAGATCTGCGATCAGGACTGTAGAGGCTAGGCTGTTCACCGATATTGGCCGGAGCAGTCGTCCAAGCTGCAATACCACTACCATATTTTTGTTTGCATTTGAGAAAGACCCTGCTACGATTGAAAAGTCTGGCCATCTAAGTTCTAACTTTACTTCTTTTATTTATTTATTGCATTTCTTTACCCAGGGTATTCCAAACAGTTAAAAACTGGTTTCCTAGCTTTGTTTTTACATTTACCAACTATTAAATAATGTTAAGTAAATATCGTCAGGAAAAGTGCATTGGTGAAACAGACGACGATCTTTCATTCTGTCAAATATAAGTATTTCAAAAATATTACAGAAATTTTGTGATTTGTGTATCAATCCAGTCAGTAAGCAATCTCCAGCAATATTATACATTCATTTAACAACTGATACAAAATAAACAAATCTCAATTGCATTCGCATATTTACAATTTATCATGTAGTATACAATTATAACAGTTAATGAGATTGGCAAGTTGTATGTGTTATCCCAAATCATACCGCAGAGTAATGACCACACTACACAGAACTTGACAATGAGGCTCACAACTGTTACATTTCACAGTCAAGTTACTGGAATACAGAGATAAGGATCCTCATTATTCACAGACTACAGATAGTTCTTGCAAATATCTCCCTCTCTGAAAAATATCCTGGGTAACTAGCATTTAAACAAATTCCAACATTGTCAGTAGTGCCCCTTGGTACACTGTGCAAAGTGCAGTTAAACTATCCAATACAGAAATCATTTGCTTGGGCAGATCTTTACAAGTGTTTTCACAGAATTTGACAATGAGACTCACAAAATGTCACCACTAACCAGCACTTTGTGCTGGATATTTCCCCATCAATGTGGGAAGGTCCAAATTTGACTGTAATGATTAATCTGAGCAGACAGTTCAAGTCAGTTGATGCAGCTAAGGGTTCAAACCTGACAAGGCCAAGGGACTTTCTGTATGGGCCGGGGAGACATTAAGGGGACAAAGGAATGTTGACTTTCAGTTGATGAGGGTGATTGAATTGGCTTGGAGTCAGTACAAGATCTTCAAATGTATGAGAGATAGTACAGGAAAGAAACACAGCAGCAGAAACAGAGAGACACATGAGGAGCTGATAGGCGCAATGTGGTCAGACAGAGGGTGAACTCACTCCCCCTGGAAAACAGAAAACCAGCAGAGACAGACAGAGGCAAGTTCAATAAAAGATACACTCACAGCTGATAGGCAGAATGTGTTCAGACACAGAGTGGTAGATGACTGGGACTCACTCCCCCAGGGGAAACACAAACCAGCAGAGATAGACCGATGCAATGTTCAAGGTAAGATCACCTAACAGCTGATAGGCAGAATGTGTTCGAACCAATTTAAGATACCCATCAGTGCCACATCAACAGTGTCTATGCTTTCACATCTTTAACTGTCAATGTGCAGTGATATGCAGCTTCCAACAGAAAAGAGTTTGAGAATTTCTGAACGGTTCCAATGAAGGAGCCACAATATGCCACTGAGGAAATCTCTGTTAACTCAAATCACTCCTCTTTCAATTTTGCTTCTAGGTTTAAGATCAACCCTTAACTGCTAAAAGAAAATAAGTGACCAGTGAATTACATTTTTGCTCAGTAGACTCTTCAGATGATAATGCTTTTGGTCTTTGACCACAGACTTTATTCAAAACCAACGTATATGGCAAAACGTATTATTCATACCAGGACATTAAAATTTGCATATTTTTCATGGTGCAATAAATGAACAGGCAGTTATAACGACATGCATTCCTGATCACAACAATTAATACCATACTGGCAGCATGTCAATTTTTAATCCATTCTTCCTCAGGTCACTCAGTGACTCATTAATGTGTTTCATGTCTTCATTTGTCAGCTGACAGCCCGTGAGGCACAGCGTCTGAAGGTGCAGCAGCTGCTTTACCTCCATGCGCCACAATGCTGCTGTACCACCCAGGTTATTACGATGAAGACTCAATTCAGCCAAGTTGGGTAGATCCCTGAGTGACTCAGCAACATGTTTGATGTCCTGTCCATTCAATGAGCATTCACCCAAGTGCAGCTTTGTGAGGGATTTCAACTGCTTTGCCTCCATGCACCATAATGCTGATGTACCAACCAGTTTATTACCAGAAAGATACAATTCACTGAAGTTAAGTAGATCCCTGAGTGACTCAGCAACATGTTTGATGTCCAGTCCATTCAATGAGCAGCCATCCAAGCCCAGCTTTGCGAGGGACTTAAACTGTTTTAAATGCATGCACCATAATGCTACTGTACCACCCAGGTTATTAACAGAAACATTCATTGCAACCAAGTTGGGTAGATCCCTGAGTGACTCAGCAACATGTTTGATGTCCTGTCCATTCAATGAGCAGCTACGCAAGCTCAGCTTTGTAAGGGACTTCAAGTGCTTCAAATGCATGCACCATAATGCTGCTGTACCACCCAGGTTATTACCAGAAAGTTTCAATTCACCCAAGTTGGGTAGATCCCCGAGTGACTCAGCAACACGTTTGATGTCCTGTCCATTCAATGAGCAGCCACACAAGTCCAGCTTTGTGAGGGACTTCAACCGTTTTAAATGCATGCACCATGATGCTGCTGTCTGACCCAGGTCATTCTGGGAAAGATTCAATTCACCCAAGCTTGGTACATGTAGATCCTTGAGTGACTCGGCAATATCTGCCATGTTGCTACCGGTCAAAAAGCATGACGTGACATCTACAGCATTAAGATTTGTGATTGCACACTTGTTGTGAGCTAATTCCTTAACAAACCCTGTCAAGTTACAAGAAGAAACAGCCAATTTCTTTACTCTAGCAAGGTAAGCATTGGCACTGTCCTTTGTCTGGTCTGCAACACATTTCAAAAAGTATCTGACTGAGTTCAGACAATCCCTGTCAAGCCTATGAATGTAAATTTCATCTGTTATGAATGAATGTATGAATCCCTCTGGAGGCAAACGTTTGGATTGACCTTCAAAGAAACAATGAAGTGCCAACTGACCCACCATTGAGTTGAATGACAACTCCTCCTGACACCTCACCTGAAATACCTTCAGAATCTTATTTGTACATGCCTCACTGGCACCACAACAAAAGCGCAGAAGATACTCAAACCTCCCTGCACCCGTTGACATAATTTCATTCAAAATCTTCTGAAATTCCTCTGAGTCTGCCTCTAACAAACTTTGCAAGTAAGCAGCAGCAGAGAACTCCTGGAATGTCTTGTGCATAAACTGAACACAGTTGTGACTCTGTAGTCCCTTGCGGACTCTCTGTCTGGTCAGAATACCTGCCTTCAGAGCCAGGTCAAGCACACTCGGCTCAAAGTCACTTTCTTTGAAAGAGAGTGACTGATCAGGAGAAAGAAGACCATGCAACGCAACCTTGCCAATTTCAATCATAACTTTTGATATTTCATCTTGTGAGTCCAGTCTTCTTCTTTTGAATATGTATGAAACTCCATCACCATACAGACTTGACATTGTTTCTTGGAGTGATGAGCCATCTTTTCTCCATAATACACACATCAAAAGAACAAGCATAGGACTTGCAGCTAAAGTAGACAGAAGGCCTGACGATCCAATCGTTTCAAGAAGCCCCTTGGCCTTGCCAGGTTCCCCAGTGAAAAATTTATTGACATACTCGGTGACATCCTCTCTACTGAAACCCATGACCTCGACATGTGTGAATGGGTCCTGAACCAGTTCCTCTGATACAAGTCTGTCAAAGTGTGAGGGGCGGGTGCTTACAAGTACAGTACAACCCCTCAACATCTTTCCATTAAGGATCTCCAGGATGGAACCAAACGAGGATTCACACAAGGAGGTAGTCATGAGCTCATCAAAGCCATCTAGTAAAACGAGGACTTTTCCAGGACTCTTCTTGATAAACATGTCCAGGGCACCTCTTCCAATACTTGTATCTTTAGCCAAGAGTTGGTCAAAAACTGAATCAACAAGATCTGAACTCTGCTCCAGTGCGTGCATTTTCAACAGGAAGACTAGTTTATACTTCCGTAGTACCTGACTAGAACCAACTGCCCAATCATATGAAATTTTGTCAAACAGTGTGGTTTTTCCTCTACCAGCCAACCCAGTTAAAACAGCAATTAGGATCAGGTCTCCCTCTTTTGTCTTACGTTGTAATATATCGTCATATGATGCCAGCATGACTCTGTCCTTACCGAGTATCAACTGTAACTTTGTGTAGATTTCCGTAATGTGTTTCCTGTCATCGCCCTCCCATGGAAGCACCTTAACAAAGCTACCTTTCCCCCTGTAGTATGATTTCAGGGCATCTTCACAGCAATCAGCGGCTTCTTGGGCCAGATTGTCAAACTTCGTCTGTTTGGGTGTGCTGCAGTCTAAAAATATTTCAATGAGCATAAGAGTTGAATGACTTAATCATGCAATACATTATGGCATCCAAGCAATAAATTGGCTCCTTGTCTGTAAAAAGTACCATTTTGAGCTGAAATATTGGTTCATTGTATGCAAAAATTAAAGCACTAAAAGCTTGTTGCTTTGTGAGTGTGGGAGGAAAAAACGTGACAGGATTGAAATAACCTCCTGCCCAATGATGCATGAATCTTAATCACTCAGACAACAAGTGTTGCAAAAGCTCTGCAATAGACCGATCCAGTAAGCCCCGCCCACTGTGCACGTAGGCAATTAACATGTGCTCCTCTCTAAGGCCACACTGCATGGTACAGCTGTGAGCATCATACGCGTCTGTACGCATGTTGGATCCAGTAAGCCCCGCCCACTGTGCACGTAGGCAATTAACATGTGCTCCTCTCTAAGGCCACACTGCATGGTACAGCTGTGCACGTCATACGCGTCTGCACGCATGTTGGATCCAGTAAGCCCCGCCCACTGTGCACGTAGGCAATTAACATGTGCTCCTCTCCAATGCCACACTGCATGTTACAGCCGTGCGCATCATACGCGCGTGCACACATGTCAGACTTTTGTGCGCACATGTCAGACGTAAGTCACAGCTGTGATTGGTCAGAACACAATGGGACGGGACTTAATGGATTGGTCTATTAATGTCAGATGATACTTTATTTTCACGAAAAAAAGTCTTACTTTCTCAAACTCTTTGGAGGCAAAAAGACGATGTGCTTTTAATAATTCTGTACATTAACAAAAACAAAGCATTCATTGTATTCCTATCGTACACATTACAAGTGTGAGTCTAGTCTGTAAGGAATGACTACATTGACATCTGGTTTGGAGTTGGTACATTCATTGATAATTACCTTGTGCACCTGAGGCCACATGCCGTGTTGGTGGTTGCTGTGATGTACTTGGTGAATTCTCTGATATGTCAACTGATGGATGACCAGAGTGGTGTGATGCATGTGCATCATCTTCAATCAATTCGAAAATGAGAAGGGCAATTGTTTATTGTCGAACTCAAAAGGAGACAAGCACATTATTAGGGAATTAACCCTCATAGTGGGAAGAAAATATTCAGAGCAGTATAACCCTTTAGACCCCTGCAGGTCAGTTTCAAGTGAAGGGACATGAAGTGTTAAGGTAAATGTGTCACACCAAGAGTCCCTGCAGGAGAAAACAACACAGTGAGAGCAGTGAAGCGTGACCAAAAGGCCTGCTTGCCCTGAGCTTCACCACACAAAGAAACCGCTCTGTAATTTGAAGTGTTATCCAAACACACATAAGATTACAATATTGAATTTGAATTGGGGGTGCTAACTCCATTGGCCAAAGTGAAGAACACAAGAGATTTAATGCTTAATTGCAAGTTTACTACATGTATTTACACAAAAAAAACAGAGTGATTTCATTCTGTTGCAGTAACGCATCTCTAGTTGAGGCCAATGGTTGGTAAAGCAGCAAAAGGTCTCTGCTTTGATGAAACTAAAATTGCATTCAGTTTACAATACTCGGTGGGAGCAACTACATCATTGTATACAGACAAACAGTGGCCTTGACATTTGTCCTGCTTTATTATGCTCATCAACAATATCAACAATGTTTACTATTTCATCAAAAACCTATTTGAATCATGTACTAAATAGAAATAAGCAAATAGGAGTGGATGCAAACAAAGAGATTGTGTATCATTAATTATTTGTTTTCTACCTTTGGACTGGTAGATATTGATGGTGCAATCTTTTGGGTTGAAGATGGGTACGTGTCCAGAGCCAGATATCTGATGCACTGACTGCTGCAATTGATTGACTGCTGCAACTGGCATCATATCTGAAAAACGGGAATAAAATGTCTCTTATTACACAATGCCTGAAGAAATCACCCTTATCAGATTGGTGGGTCACTGATCACATGACTTATTGGATTAATCATCCCTACCCACACGGCCTGGCTACACCACAAAAATTCTACGGTCACACTATTGTCGAATAGTGTGACCGTTGAAAGACCGTGGACACCCTATTGATGACACTGTATTAAACATGGCTCTAATGACTGTAACAAATCAGATGACAAGGATTTATTCAGGCAGTGTATAAAACAAATAAGGAATGTTTCACATTCGTGCAATGTAAAGAATAGTTTTCCTGAGGTGACAGATGGAATTACACTTCATTACCACTGCACTCATATATGTCATAACCATTATTTGTAAAAATCAATGAAGTCAAGAAGTAAAGAAAGGGAATATATAGTCCCCTTGCACTTCAATACACATTTCTTAATTTGAAAAGTTGGTTTGCATTTTTATCTTTGTACACACTGTAAAGCGTGAACAAGTCAACAGTGAAATGTCTCCAGGAATCAACGTGCATACGGTTCGCTTACAGCCAGGGTTTATTGCTCACCTGTTGTCTGGTCCTGATTGCCTGGTCTCCTCAAGGCCAGTGCTTGGTCCTGAGTCTCTGCACAGTCTCCATCAGCAACCTGCCCCTGTCTCTCAGCATCTTGTGTGGGCATCATCTCTTCTTGTTCAGCCATTTTGGATGAAATCTGATGGGAAAATTATTGAACCATGAGAAATCATTACGAAGGTACTAAAGCTTTAAGCTGTTAAGAGGTTATTCCGGTTTTATGGTGTAAATTATTGAAAGTTAACGGTTAAATATCGTTGTTTGTTTGACATTTTTACAATGTCAAATTCAACCATTGTACAGTAAAACTGCATTGATTCTCATGGCATCAACTTGGAATACTGAAATCATTGGTTTTGTCGTAATTTTGTTGAAAATCTTGACAACAAGTATAACGGGAGAGCTGGTTTCCGAGTTCATGTTGTTGGAGCAGTACTGTTTAAAAAGTGAATACAGAATAGGTAAAACTGCTAGACCAAAAATTTGGGACTCTCATATATCAATAAAGCATGATAGAGCCTAGACCCATAAATGTGGCATTGTTATTGACGCCTCGTTCATGGGTCTAGATAGAGACCAGAGTCAAGCTATCACCACATTGGGCACAGCATTCAATCGTCAAGTGAGTCACCATTCAACAACAGATTCAGCACAGCATTTGCCACTACGGTGTTTCATAACAGACATCGAAAAAAATATTAATCGAGAGAAATACTGTAAAAGCACATGTAGTGTTTGAAATTCTCTTTCTTTTTGTTGAGTAGGGCAGAGCATGATTGGCTGTATGATAACTGACTTAGTTTGAAGATGTTGAATAAACAGGGAGCTGACTTGTAAAAACAATGGACTTGGTCTCTGTTGTAGGACGGGGTAATGCCAGAGAAAATGCCTCAAATTTTTAAACCGGTAGCGATGCCACCATGAACTTTTGTTTAACTAAAGAAGACAATCTGATATAGTTCATGATTTTCTGATTTCTCGTGCATGGCTATCATAAAACTGACTCGTACATGAACCATTAACAGTAGGCATAATGGTCATGTATCTACTGAAACTGCATTAGTGACAACCTTTTGAATTGGCTGGATCCATGCTTACATTATTGTGATTTTGTACATAAGGGCAGAATTGTGACCTAGGCTAATTTGTATACACCAGTAGGAATTCCTCCAGGACTACTGCGAACAAGTTAACGTTCCTAAGTGCCAACATTATGAATTGAAATACAACTGGATATTAACTTTCACTGAAAATCAACTAATTGTTGACACTACTAAAATGCTATTATAGATATTTTTATCAGTGCTTTTTTTTTTAAAGTAAGTAAATAGGCTACTGAAAACAAGTTTTAAGTTGGCCTGCTTTTCCATTCTTTCAACCAGATGAGACTTTTACGTGTATGTGGATGTTGATTGTTTTTTTTTAGGTGTACTGGGACCAATGGGAGACCAATGGATTTCACTAAATTGGCCGCCATTTTAAATAATGAAATAAAGTAAACTATAAATATTTCCTTGTCAGTTTTTAAATCCAATATTCAATTGGAGTCTGCCTCTGCTTGTGCCACATGATTGGCTGCAGCTTCTACTACCTCTGGGGGAATGCGGCAATCTCTATAATGCTGTTTGATGTCATGTGGCCGTAGGTTTCAGCAACCTTGCTGGTTACTTTTGCTTCTTGGAAGGGTTCTGGACAGAAGTGTTGTGCTGACCCGACTCGAAACTGCAACCGACCCAACCAAAAACCAACTTTGTGTCTGGTCAGTTCGGTTTGTCTGCATTTCAGTTGGGTTGATCAGTTTTGTGTTTGAAAATTTGCGGATCAGGTCGGAAAGGGTCAATTCAAAACCCGAAATAAACAGGGAAAAAAGATGGAAACAGTTTGGAAATTAACAAAGCGCAGGATCTGGATTATATCTATAATTTTTGCATCGGTCTGGCCTATAGTGGACCTGACCCGAAGCAAAACACGACTGGACAGGGGAGGTTTTCAATGTTTGCATGAAGTTTAATAATCTAAGACACTGGTGGACATGCAGGACTGCATTTACTCGAGTTTTCCTAATAGTAATAGCCCAAACAGTCCTGAATCCTGGAATTTTAATACGATTCTCCCCCCCCCCCCCCCCCCCCGGAAGTTAGGGTTAATGAAAAATGTTTGAAGTGATAAGTGTTGCACCCGTAGTGGTTTACTTCATGAATATTGCTGTGCAAATAGGGGCAAAATATTGTTTCTTTTATGAAATTTTTAAACAATTCCAAACAAACATGGAGCACTAATCGTACGTTAAAAGGCCGTCTGACATAAAGGAGTCTGATGTAGAAAGCCATCCTGCTCATTAATAATATTGGTGTTCGTACGAAACTATTTGTATTCTTAACATTCATGATCTGGCCGGAGTTCTGCTGAATATTCCCCCCACAAACCACTGGCCTGTGACTCAGTGCACGGTTTCGCTGCGCTGCAGCTCAGCGGGCAGGGCAGTGCGACAACGCCGTGTTAACGCCGCGCATGCCCCGGTGGTGTGTGCATACGTTCACGCTCTACAGCTATTGCGCCGTGTGATGTGCGTGTATACCGCACGGTGTTTGTGAAAAGTGGCTGTATTTCAACCGTTCTAAAAAAAAATCTACCGCTGGCCTTCGAATGAAACTTCATGAGTCATTTAAGGTGGTCTTCATTTACAAGAAGTGACCAAGGAATATTTGGGGAAAACTTGGGGAAAAAATTCCATACTCGATCACCACTTTTTATTCGATTCATTTCAAGCATCAGAAGTTGCATCCTTTAGGCCGAAAAAAAAAAAATCTCCGGTTTCTGGTATGCGCACGCATCACCGTAGCCATGCGCGTCGGCAAAATGAAAAAGTTTTTTTTTTCAAGAAAGATGATGTCTCAAAACCGCCAAACTCACTGGTTTGACTGGAATCCTGCTACTGCACAATTTTAACATGTTTTTAGATGGGGTTATGATCGAGAATAAGCTTTATGTGGCCTCTCTGGACTCCCATATATTTGCACTAAGTTTTTTTCAGGCACCATTTGCAGTCATCAGCCGACATTTGAAGCAAAAAAGTCAGGTAAAAAAAAAAAAAAAAAGAGCGTCGCCGCACCACTTTTTGGACAAGCTCCATACCAGAAACCGGAGACTTATTTTTTTGGCCTTATGGTTACCGGTTATTCCCTCCACTTTCCTTCCTCTACTCTCACCTCTCCTTTCCTGTATTTCTATTTATTAATCAGTCACTTACTTCATCGAGATTCAAACCTCGGACTCTTGCTTGAAACACGAGACTCTTAACCGCTAGGCAGCGCACGATCGCTGTTGCAATAAGCTATCTTTGGACGTACATGAATTTGAAGTAGCCATTGAATTAAACTAAATATTCATGAGAAAATAAATATTCATTTTGACGTATTGCACTATCATTGGCCGGCTCATGCAACATCATGGTTGTCAATGTCATGCATGCGTATAACGTACCACTGTTGACCGGCTGCCAAGGGCGGATCCAAAACACAATTTTGGGGGGGGGCCCAAAAAATTTTTGGACCCCCAAAAAAGTGGGTCAAAAAAATTACGGCATGGGGTTCGGGGCCCGCTCAAGGGCCCCGAAAAATTTCCGGATTCTAGATGCTCTGTGGTGCGATCTGAGGCAATTTCTGACCACTTTAACCAATGTTTTTTGAGGAAAAGATGGTGGTGTACTCATTGCCTGCCTTTTTTGCGATCGCGCATGATCGCTGTTGCAATAATCATTCTTTGGACGTATTTGAAGTAGCCATTGAAATAAACTAAATATTCATGAGAAAATATATATTCATAATGACGTATTGCACTATCATTGGCCGGCTCATGTGACGTCATGGTTGTCGATGTCATGCGTATGACGCACCGCTGTCTGTCACCACTTAATCAGTTTTGACCAGCTGCTTCAACTTAGTTCTGCACGACCATGGAGGAATGTTCTTATTCCTCCATGGCACGACGTGTGCATCCAAAATGGGCTCTAAAAACACATTTTGCCTAGCTGGAGTTACCCAGCCCCGAGTTTTATCATTGGGTTGTCATTTAGGGCTGGAGCTAGTTTTTCTCGTAACCGATAGTATAGGCAAAATTTTTTGGAAAATGTTCAATTTTGTCCCCGTTACACACTTGCAACTGCAACTCACCCCAAACTTGCCTGGAATAACCATTACACAGGTCCTTGAAGTAAAATACGATCCACGATGAAGATTCAGCCTACAATTGCAGTGAAAACAGGAGGAATAACCGCTAACCCGACAACCTTGCTGGCATGGCCAGGACCGCAATTGGTTTGTGCACAAAAAAATTGTGTACAATGAATGGCGGTCGATTACCATGCACGTACAGCTCGCTGGTACTAGGCGTTTTTGCGGTCGGTGCATGACGTGACGCGGAAGCGTAATACCCAATGACTGTTTCATGCACTCGACGGTTGCCGTTCCAGTACCGCACTGTGATGCGAGTGAACCTCTTATTATTTTACAATTTTTGTTTGTGCACAAACCAATTGCGGTCCTGGCCATGCCTGCAAGGTTGTCAGGTTAGCGGTTATTCCTCCTGTTTTCACTGCAATTGTAGGCTGAATCTTCATCGTGGATCGTTTTTTACTTCAAGGACCTGTGTAATGGTTATTCCAGGCAAGTTTAGGGTGAGTTGCAGTTGCAATTAGTGTGTAACGGGGACAAAATTGAACATTTTCCTAAATTTTTTGCATATACTATCGGTTACGAGAAAAACTAGCTCCAGCCCTAAATGACAACCCAATGATAAAACTCAGGGCTGGGTAACTCCAGCTACATTTTGCCTAATTGTTTTTCGCATTAACACAGCTTCCTGGATTCCTCTTGGGTGAAATCACAAGATACGGTGAAAATTGATGTGTTTAGCAGCAGGTAAAGTTGTGGCCGAGTATGGACATTTTCCCACGATGGCCAATGCGAAATAAAAATTATAGGCCTAGGCCCAAGTGCCCCTCTTGTCTTGGGAAGTTGGTGTTGCCTGTTGGTTGGTTTTTGGCAACACAAACTCTAGCTGGAGTTACCCAACCCTGAGTTTTATCATTGGGTTGTCACCTAGATGACATCCCAATGATAAAACTCAGGGCTGGGTAACTCCAGCTAAAGTGACAAACTCTGAAATTTTTTTTAGTGAAAAATCATGAGACATGAATTGTATCTTTAAAAGAATCAAAATTGTCACGATGCTATACCCAACCATAATTATTGCTTTAAATATATAATTAATGGTAAAATGTGGTAAAAAGAGCAAAATTACCAACCTTCTTTAGCGAGCCGAGAATCCTGTTGAGTGTTGATCACTTGATGATGAGCCGTCAGATTTATTTCCTGGTGTTGGTCATTGACCTCCGTGCATAGAGGGCGGTATTCATAAAAAGTTGGTTTCGAACTGGGCGGGGTCAAAACAGGAGGGCTTTGGGGTCCTCTGTATTGTAGTGTTATGTGATTTGTCTCCCTCACATTATATTAACTGATCATATCAAGCCTAAAAACAATACAACATTTACATCACTTTACAACTTTTTGCCTGCAAAATGAAAGGAATATGGGTTCATATTAATGATGTTTATACCTCCCAATTTTCATTGAATGAGGGGACGGGCGGGGGGTGTACATTGAGCAATATGCAACAAGCAACTTTTAATGTATCTTTTTCTACAACCAAATCATTCCCCTTTTAACTTGTCGCTCCCACAGTTTCACCCAGCCCTGTTTAGAACTTGACACAAAAAAACCAACAAAAACCACACAGCTGTTAACAAACAAGCTATCAGTTGCAAACGTGTCTTTATTTATCAACATCGGCATACAACAATCCCATAAATTTTTGATGCAACATAAAAGATGTAAGCTTAGTTCAAAAATCAAAATACATGATGCCAGAACAAAAATGTATTTTTAATTTATTTATAACTTCATACCAGGAATAAGCATGAAGTTAATTAACTTTCATGTGATGTAAGTACATATTAACCTGTAGGTCGATAACCCATAGCAAGGCCACTTTGGCCAGTGTTGGGATTCTAGGAAGAATAAGGTGGGTGGTAGAGGACATATGTTGTGGTCAATAAATATCCAAGTTAAGGATGTGGTTTTACCCTCAAGAAGAGTTGGAAAACTTCTTTAAGGAGAAGATGTGGTCACACCGCCACTGAGGGTGGGGCTGACATCTAACAATGGTTTAGGGACATATAAAAAGTAAGGAAGGAAATTGAAATGGTTAATCTTGATTGAGGCACCAGAGAGTGCACAACATTTTGTATAGCTCCAGAATATAAGAATGTAGCAATAAATAGATTAGCTCCAAAGTATAGCAAGAAGTTGTCCAGTGTGAGTTCCTGATGTAGAGAACTTTAAGTATAATCGATGTTCACCGAGGTGGACAACGTAACATTTCACTAGAAACGTATCAAGTAAGTTCAGGAGGTTTCAGTACTGTCTTTTGAAATGAAGCAAAATTACCACTAAAAATCTTTCTTGAGTATTGCAGCAAAGAAGTAACAAACAATCTATAGTAATAAAACCATATTATACTGCCAAACATCAGAATCCTTTGAGTTATCGTTTTCAAACCTTTATGAATATTCAAAGAACAAGAACTAAAACAAAACAGCAATGCAATCCTCATTTTGAAAGATTGGATCAAATCCGTGTCTCAATCACAGAAAACTCACATGAGACAAATTTCATAAAATTGTTGTGTCCTAGCTTGCTAACTTGGTGTAGCCTTTTCTCAATCAGAGATTTACATTGACAGACAAAAATGACTGAGAAAAGAATTCTATTGATTTGCTTAAAAACCTTGTGTATAAACTCAAATGCCTTGCTCAATTGTTAGTGACAAGACAAAGAGAAAACCCCACACTAGACTATGTCAGCCTGTCAGCATTACGCTAATAATGGGGGCATTCAGTGCATAATAAAGGCAACATTCATCTGGAAATAACAAACATCTGACCCATTGTAAACACTATACAATGTACATCATGCAATATGTGATTCTGGATATTAAAAAGAAAACAAATCTGATTTGTACTGGATCCAATGATGGCAAGTTTCATGATTCTTATGACTTCGTACAAAAGCAAGGCAACTTGGCTGTTATAAAAAGTACATCAGGCTATGTATTAATACAAAATAGAAGTTAAAAAAATAGAACAATCTGGCTCACTTTGCCCAATCTTCAGATGAGCAATATCAAATATTCACATAGTTTTGTTTGCATTCGAGACAGACCCTACTAGGATTGAAAAGTCAAGCCATCTCACTTGATTTCTTTTATTTATTTGTTCCATTTCTTTATACCCAGGGTGTGCCCAAACAGTTGTAAAAAAACCTTCCATTGGGGACCTGCATACATTACACATTATTAAATAATGTTCAGCACAGTAAAACTCATAAGAAACGTGCATTGGCGAAACAGACGACAAATATTAACAAACACAGGTATTTCAGACATTTTTACAGAAATGATTGTACATTGCAGGTCAATCAGGTCAGTAGGCAATTTGCAGCAATACTCATTTAACAATTGATACAAAAATAGCACAAATATAAAAATATAAATTACCTCTGCATATTTACAAACAATTCATCATGTAATGTACAATAATTACAGTTAATGAGAATGGCTGGTTGTATTTCTGCATGTACATGTTATCCCCAATCATCATACCATAGAGTAATGACCACACTACATGTAATTACAACTGTTACATCTGTCACAGTCAAGTTACTGGAATACAGAGATTAGGATCCTCATTATTCAGACTAAAGATAGTTCTTGCAAATATCTCCCTCTCTGAAACGATCCTGGGTAACTAGCATTTGAACAAATTTCTACATTGTTCGCCGTGTCCCTTGGTACAATGTGCAAGGTGCAGTTAAACTATCCAATACAGAAATCATTTGCTTGGGCAGATCTTTAGAAGTGTTGTCACAGAACTTGACAATGAGACTAACAAAATGTCACCACTAACCAGCACTTTGTGCTGAATATTTCCCCATCAATGTGGGAAGGTCCAAATTTGACTGTAATGATTAATCTAAGCAGACAGTTCAAGTCAGTTGATGCAGCTAAGGGTTCAAACCTGACAAGGCCAAGGGACTTTCTGTATGGGCCGGGGAGACATTAAGGGGACAAAGGAATGTTGACTTTCAGTTGATGAGGGTAATTGAAATTGGCTTGGAGTCAGTGCAAGATCTTCAAATGTATTAAAGGCAGTACAGGAAAGAAACACAGCAGCAGAAACAGAGAGACACATGTGGAGCTGATAGGCAGAATGTGTTCGTACAGAGGGTGGTAGATGACTGGGACTCACTCCCCCAGGGGAAACACAAACCAGCAGAGATAGACAGAGGCATGTTCAAGGAAAGATCCCCTCACAGCTGATAGGCAGAATGTGTCAGTCAGAGGGTGGTAGATGACTGGGACTCACTCCCCCAGGGAAAACACAAACCAGCAGAGATAGACAGAGGCATGTTCAAGGAAAGATACACTCACAGCTGATAGGCAGAATGTGGTCAGACAGAGGGTGGTAGATGACTGGGACTCACTCCTCCTGGGAAACACAAATCATCATAAACATGACAACGGGACTCGCTTTCCCAAGGAAAACACAAAGTGTAATAAACACTCAAATGAAAATGACAATGAAAGATCCCCTCACAGCTGGTGACTTTACAACAGAATGTGTTAAGTCAGAGGGTGGAAGATGGTTGGAACTCCAGTCCCCCTCCCCCCAAGAAGGGAAACAGAAAGTGTAGAAACCACTCAGACGTGAAAGAAAACAAGCCTTCACAAATAATACAGACAGCTTCACAAGACAACAATCGCAGATTGCTGAACAGAATCTTACAACCAGATATTAACCTTTCCAGCTTTGTAATGGGTGACAACACAGATAACACAGTTGACTGATAGAAGTGTACTGGACTTGCATGATGTTGCTGAGTCACCATGTCTTGTGTATAATGAAGAAAGGATTCAGCAATCTGACCAATTGAGGCAGAAGTCCTACATACCCATCAGTGCCACGCCTACAGTGTCTATGCTTCACGTCTTTAACTGTCAATGTGCAGCTTTAATAGGAAGATCTTTGAGAATTTCTAAATGGTTCTAATGAAGGAGCCACAGTATGTCACTGAGGAAATAGTTCTGTGACAATATGATTTACAAAATCCAATAAAAAGAATATTTTTAACTTTAAAACTGAGGTTTGATCGCTGGTGATATCTGAACACCATTGTGACGACGATTCTTGAAATCACATTTTTGGACGAAAGAGGTTTTAGGGTCATTGTGTTTAAATGGTGATATTCTTTGAACGGATTGAGCAATTTCAGTATTTTTTTTCATCTAAAAGTAGCTTATGAAATTGGCTTTCCAGTCATCATTATTGTTGGTGCTACATATGTTTTTGAATATGAAATATATTTTTGAGGTTTTGGGTTGGGATTTTGTTGACTCACCCTGTATGAGAACAGTTCTTCATTTGCATGTTTATTTCATAAAAATGTTTTTTTTTTTATTTCAAAACTGGCAGCACTGATCCTTGTGTAACTAATATAGTGTTTGATTGAAGGTCCTTTATTCAAGGTGGAGAACAGAAATCAGGCCATGCACCTTTAAAAGGTATTATATAATAGGCTATCAGCTTCGGTCCAAAAATTGGGCCACCGGTATCAAATGATCAAAAGGAGCAGTGCTCATGGTGATCTTTGGCAAGGTAAGCAAATCTAGAGTTGGAAAATGTGAGATAGCTTTGCAGTGTGAGCGGTGGCAGGTTTTTTGGGTGTTATCACTTAAAATTATATTGCTGCCAATATGCTTGTTACCGGACTAATTATACGTGGTAACAAGCATGTATTGGTCGCAATTTTTGTTTAAGTGATATAGCACCCAAAAAGCTGGCACATACTGCTGCAATGCTTTCACATATTTTCCAACTACAGGGGTGCATACCTTACCAAAATCACAATCAGCATTATTCCCCTCATTTGATACCGACCAAACCCCCAGGCTAAAACTCAATCTAAAAGTTTTATGGAGAAATGTCAGGAATAAATGCTATCAATTGGGACTTTAATACACCTTGAGATGGTTCAGGTAAGCCTACATGTACACCAGCACAGTTGATTCACAATATTACTGTAAACAGATCAATTAGGAATGATTAAAGCAAACATGAGTGTGCTGTCTTTACAGGGAATGTACAACATTTGCTTTTGCTACAATTTTCAGAAATAAATGGATTTGGAGGATTAGTATGTTATAGCAAATATTGTTAATCTGACTTTGTTCACGTTTTGGGCTTGTAGATGCTGGAAAAACCAAGAAAACAAATCATGTTTTTGTAGTCTGGTTCCCAGACCCCTTAAGATGAAACAGAGAAATGTATAGACTTTAGGGAAATGTAAGGTCAGCGAATCAGTCTGGCAGGCTTGTACCCCTTCACAGGTGTGTAATCAATTGTAAAGAAAATGCAAACAACTGTTATGAAAAATTCTGAGCAGTTTTTTAAAGAAAGCTAGTTTTCTCCAACGCTGCTCGGCCAATTAAAACCAGCGTTGGAAAAATACAAATTTTCTTGAAAATGTCAGCACACCAGGAGACACGATTTTACAGGATACTTTAGACTGTCATTCCCTCACAATCCAGTAAGGTATTTTGTGATAATTTGATCATTCGTTTTTTTGATGTTTGCAATGTTGTATCTTCCCTTTAAAATTCAAACTTTGAAGAAAAACTTTTTAACTCAGATCTTGACTTTAATCAAAACAATGATTTTGGGTATTATGCAAAACCAACATGTAAGTTGAGTCGATGCTGATGAAGTAGGGGTGTTTGAATGTGATAACAATATCTTACTCTTTGTAACTACATGTAAGTGGAATCAGTTGATTTAAATGATTAAAATGACCCTCGGTCAATTTACTTTGCCAAAAATAAGATTGTTAAAAAATGATTTAAATCAGTGATTTAAAAAACAAATCATACGATTTAAATCAGTGATGTTTTAAACAAAATTGTATGATTTAAATCGTGATTTAAATCAGTGAAATTTATGTCCTAATGACTAATCCATTCTTCTTCAGGTCACTGAGTGACTCATCAATATGGTTCTTGTCTTCCTCTGTCAGTTGACAGGTGCTGAGGCCCAGCCTCTGAAGGTGCAGCAGCTGCTTTACCTCCATGCACCACAATGCTGCTGTACCACCAAGTTTAATACGAGAAAGATCCAATTCAACCAAGTTGGGTAGATCCCTGAGTGACTCAGCAACATGTTTGATGTCCTGTCCATTCAATGAGCAGCCACCCAAGTCCAGCTTTCTGAGGGACTTCAACTGGTTAAGATGCATGCACCATAATGCTGCTGTACCACCCAGGTTATTATGAGCAAGATCCAATTCAACCAAGTTGGGTAGATCCCTGAGTGACTCAGCAACATGTTTGATGTCCTGTCCATTCAATGAGCAATCAAACAAGTCCAGCTTTGTGAGGGACTTCAACTGCTTCAAATGCATGCACCATAATGCTGCTGTACCACCAAGTTTAATACGAGAAAGATCCAATTCAACCAAGTTGGGTAGATCCCTGAGTGACTCAGCAACATGTTTGATGTCCTGTCCATTCAATGAGCAGCCACCCAAGTCCAGCTTTCTGAGGGACTTCAACTGGTTTAGATGCATGCACCATAATGCTGCTGTACCACCCAGGTTATTACCAGAAAGATTCAATTCACCCAAGTTGGGTAGATCCCTGAGTGACTCAGCAACATGTTTGATGTGATGTCCATTCAATGAGCAGTAAACCAAGCTCAGCTTTGTAAGGGACTTCAACTGCTTCAAATGCATGCACCATAATGCTGCTGTACCACCCAGGTTATTACCAGAAAGATTCAATTCACCCAAGTTGGGTAGATCCCTGAGTGATTCAGCAACATGGTTGATGTGATGTCCATTCAATGAGCAGTAAACCAAGCTCAGCTTTGTAAGGGACTTCAACTGCTTCAAATGCATGCACCACAATGCTGCTGTACCACACAGCTTATTATGAGCAAGATTCAATTCAACCAAGTTGGGTAGATCCCTGAGTGATTCAGCAATTTGTTTGATGTCCTGTCCAATCAATGAGCAGTGAACCAAGGCCAGCTTTGTAAGGGACTTCAACTGCTTCAAATGCATGCACCATAATGCTGCTGTACCACCCAGGTCATTATAAGAAAGATTCAATTCAACCAAGTTGGGTAGATCCCTGAGTGACTCAGCAACATGTTTGATGTCCTGTCCATTCAATGAGCAGTTACCCAAGCCCAGCTTTGTAAGAGACTTCAACTGCTTCAAATGCATGCACCACAATGCTGCTGTACCACCCAGGTTATTACCAGAAAGATCCAATTTAGGTACCAAGTTGGGTAGATGCCTGAGCAACTTACCAGTATCTGCATTGTTCTTGAAATCTACAAGAAGAAGATTTGTCATTGCACACATGGTAACAGCTAACTCCTCAATAAACCATGTCCATCTACAATGGTGTATATGCAATGTATGTACATTAGCAAGGTATTTGTTGCCACTGTCTTTTGTCTGTTCAGCAACACATTTCAAAAAGTATATGACTGAGTTCAGACTATCCCTGTTATTGTGAAGACCAGGAATGCAAAATTCATCTGATATGAATGAATGTATGAATTCCTCTGGAGGCAAACGTTTGGATTGACCTTCAAAGTAACAATGAAGTGCCAACTGACCCATCTTTGATTTGAATGACAACTCCTCCCCACACCTCACCTGAAATACCTTCAGAATCTCATACGTACATGCCTCATTGTCACCACAACAAAAGCGCAGAAGATACTCAAACCTCCTTGCACCCTTTGTCACAATTTTATTCAAAATCTTCTGAAATTCCTTTGGGTCTGTTTCTAACAAGCTTTGCAAGTAAGCAGCAGCAGAGAATTCCTGGAATGTCTTGTGAATAAACTGAATACAGTTGTGACTCTGCAGTCTCTTGCGCACTCTCTGTCTGGTCAGAATACCTGCCTTCAGAGCCAGCTCAAGCACACTCGGCTCAAAGTCACTTTCTTTGAAAGAGAGTGACTGATGTCGAAAAAGAAGACCATGCAGTGCAACTTTGCCAATTTCAATCACAACTTTTGCTACTTCATCTTGCGAGTCCAATCCTTTTCTTTGGAAGATATATGAAAATCCATCATGATACAGACGTGACATTGTTTCTGGGAGTGTGCAATCTTCTCTCCATAGTACACACATCAAAAGAACAAGCATTGGACTTTCAGATAAACTAGACAGAAGGTGTGACGATTCAATCTTTTCAAGAAGCCCCTTGGCCTTGTCAGGTTCACTAGTGAAAAAATTAGTAACATACTCAGTGACATCGTCTTTACTGAAACCCAGGACCTTGACATGTGTGAATGGTTCCTGAACCAGTTCCTCTGAAATAAGTCTGTGAAAGTGTGAGGGGCGGGTGCTTACAAGTACAGTACAACCCCTCAACGTCTTTCCATTAAGGATCTCCAGGATGGAACCAAATGAGGATTCACACAAGGTGGTGGTCATGAGCTCATCAAAGCCATCTAGTAAAACAAGGACTTTTCCAGGACTCTTCTTGATAAACATGTCCAGGACACCTCTATCAATACTTTCTTTAGCCAAGAGTTGGTCAAAAACTGCGTCAACAAGATCTGAACTCTGCTCCAGTGCGTGCATTTGCAACAGGAAGACAAGTTTATACTTCTGTAGTACCTGACTAGAACCAACTGCCCAATCATATGCCATTTTCTTAAAAAGTGTGGTTTTTCCTCTACCAGCCTCCCCAGTTAAAACAGCTATAAGGATCAGATCTCCCTCTTCTGTCTCAAGTTGTAATATATCATCATATGATGCCAGCTTCTTCACTTTGTCCTTACCAAGTATTAACTGCAACTTTGTGTAGATTTCCGTAATGTGTTTCCTGTCATCACCCTCCCATGGAATCAATTTTACAAAGCTACCTTTCCTCCTGTAGTATGACTTCAGTTCACCTTCACAGCAATCAGCAGCATCTTGGGCGGGACTGTCAAGCTTCATCTTTTTGGGGGCGCTGCGTCCTACAATATTGAAATGAGCAATGACTTAATCATGCAATGCATTTTGGCATCCAAGCAATAAATTGGCTCCTTGTCTGTAAAAAGTACCATTTTGAGCTGAAATATTGGTTCATTGTATGCAAAAATTAAAGCACTAAAAGCTTGTTGCTTTGTGAGTGTGGGAGGAAAAAATGTGACAGGATTGAAATAACCTCCTGCTCAATGATGCATGAATCTTAGTCACTCACACAACAAGTGTTGCAAAAGCTCTGCAATAGACCGATCCAGTAAGCCCCACCCACTGTGCACGTAAGCAATTAACATGTGCTCCTCGCCAACGCCACACAGCATGTTACAGCTGTGCACAGCATACGTGTCTGCACGCATGTTGGATCCAGTAAGCCCCACCCACTGTGCATGTAGGCAATTAACATGTGCTCCTCTCAAATATGCCACACTGCATGTTTCAGCTGTGCACGTCATACGCCTCTGCACACATGTTGGATCCAGTAAGCGCCGCCCACTGTGCACGTATATGAACTAGACTGCTATAATAGCATGCGCATAGCAGTTCAATAGCATTCCAACAGCATGTGCATGTTAATATAGCATTCACATAGCATTCACATATGATGATGACTTGATGACTGCTAACTTTAACAGTCCATATAGCATTCTCGATAGCATGCGGAATGAAAATAGCATTCCAAATAGCATGCGAGCTTCAAAGCATTCCACATAGCATGCAAGTGAAAGTGGGAGGACTGCAAATTGAGTACAGCATTCCAATTTAGCAGTCGATTGTAAAATAATTTTAAAGTATAGCATTCCGTGGCTAAGCATAGCCTGCAAACAGCATTCCAATATATAAGCCTATCAAATCAGGGACTGCAAGTCACATGACACAGTGATGACCTTGCATTCCACAGATTAAGGGTCAATTAATGTGGGAAATTTGAAAACTGCTGTCAGTTGAATATTATCAACACAGTAGGATGCACATAATTATAGTCTTGCAAGAAATTGTAGAAAAATGGACATTAACCTGTGGAATGAATGCTTGTGGACATAATTTCATGTTCACATGCATGCACTCAACCTGTACATGACAAATACACTGGATGATTGGCTGAATGGACTACAGTCTTTGGAATCGACAACTTAAAAGCAACAGTTGAACCAATATGGAGGCCTCCATACACGTGTATGCACTGAGCACACTCACAAACTGTTTGTATACAGTTTTGCACTACGAGTACCAATAATGTGTCTATGACATGGTGGGTATTCAATATTTGGCTTGAAGACGATTTTATTTTGGCTTTGAGCATGTTTTTGTTAGTGGTGTTAAGATGTGAAGTATTAAACATATATTCCTTCCTACGTGATTGAATTTTTGAATCAGCTGGATTTGGAATGATAATTGTTTTTAAATTGTGATGCCAATTGGCATAAAAGTGACAACTTGTTGCTTCAAAGATAATTCGAATTAAGCAAAAAATTGTTGCATCAAATTTCTGGCCATTAAGCATGACAATTATAATGTTAGACAAAGAGTGTCCCAATGTTTGTACAGTCGGAAGAATGATAAAGTCTTAAATAACAATTTTTTAATTGATATATTTTGATCACAGTCCATGCACATAGGACTATTAAATTTCAAAATGGTGTTAGCTGTGTTAACCCCATGCGTACTGAAAGCGGTCATGGCCGCGGCCGCTAATCCTCATTGGAATGCAGTTGCCAGCTGTGGTATGCTGTGGCACACAGCTAGTGGGTAGTTCCACAGCTGCTGCTTTTGTGCAGTCCCGCTACCACACAAAGGCTGTGCAGTCATGCGGGCCACTTGCTCTATGTGTGGAAGAATGTCCCCATTACACCCCATCCTTAAGGGGTTAAATATGGTTTAATACAGGAAATTATTAAAGCTTATAACACAAGTAATTTTTGGCATAAATTGTGACATTGAAAATGTATGTTGTAGGATGCCTGTGTCCATGTCACGATAGCAGTCATGATAGCATTCACAAAGCATTCTTCATAGCATGCACAAGCTAAAAGCATTCATCATAGCATGCGAATAGCATGCAAATGCTATTCTCATAGCATGTGAATGCTGTTATGGCATTCATGTTCGCATGCCTAAATAGCATTCTCGATAGCATTCGAATGATAGCTCATTTACATAATTCAGGCTTCTGACATGCTATAAACTGCTATCGGAATGCTATATCTTCAAGGAATGCTGTGAAAAATGCTTTAGGAAAGTATATATATGGCTTTTTGTGAATGTTTTCAAATGGCAGTTCTCATAGCATTCGCATGTTAAAATGCATGCGAAAGGAATGCTTATAATGACTGCAGTCAAGTTTGGTAAGGGTAGGCAATTAACATGTGCTCCTCTCCAATGCCACACTGCATGTTACAGCTGTGCACGTCACACGCCTCTGCACGCATGTTGGATCCAGTAAGCCCCGCCTACTGTGCACGTAGGCAGTTAACATGTGCTCCTCTCCAATGCCACACTGCATGTTACAGCTGTGCACGTCACACCCCGCTCTGCACGCATGTTGGATCCAGTAAGCCCCACCCACTGTGCACGTAGGCAGTTAACATGTGCTCCTCTCCATTGCCACACTGCATGTTACAGCTGTGCACATCATATATGTCTGCACGCATGTTGGATCCAGTAAGCCCCACCCACTGTGCACGGAGGCAATTAACATGTGCTCCTCTCTAATGCCACGCTGCATGTTCCAGCTGTGCACGTCATACGCGTCTGCTCGCATGTTGGATCCAGTAAGCCCCGCCCACTGTGCACGGAGGCAATTAATGTGCTCCTCTCCAATGCCACACTACATGTTACAGCTGCGAGCATGTATGCGTCTGCACGCATATACATGCTTGGTCAGAACACAATGGGGCAGGGCTAAATGGATTGGTCTAAATATGACAGATGGTACATTTATTTTTATGAAACAAGTCTTAATTTTTCATACTCATGGGAAGCAAAAAGATGATGTGCTTTTAATAATGTACATTAACAAAAAAAAAGTGGACTAGTCTGCAAAGAATGAATACATTTTACATCTGGTTTGGAGTTGGTACATTAGTTCATTGATAATTACCTTGTGCACCTGAGGCCACATGCCGTGTTGGTGGTTGCTGTGATGTACTTGGTGGATTCTCTGATATGTCAACTGATGGATGACCAGAGTGGTGTGATGCATGTGCATTATCTTCAATCAAATCAAATATGAGGACAATTGTTAGTGCCAAAAAAGGGACTTAAGCACATTCATGTTATTAGGGAATTACCCTCCTTGTGGGAAGTCAATATTCAGAGCAATATAAAAAACACTTTAGAACCCTGCAGGTCAGTTTCAAGTGATGTGAAGAGTCAAAAACACTGAGTGGAGAGCAGTGAAGTGTGTCTGAATCTACATTCTTGCCCTACTTAAGATTAAGCACACGAAACACTTGTGCTGGGATTTGAAGTGTTATCCAAACCCACAGAAGATTACCTCCAATGAATTTGAAGTAGGGGTGATAACTGCATGTACTGTATCAGCCGAAGTACAGAAGACTAGGAGGGTTAATGCTTAAAGCCAGAGTCCATCATTTGCAGCTATCCAAAAAAGTAACTGGCGTAATTATTGTTGAAAAACATACTTGGTTGAAAGATAAGGGGACTAAACTCCCTGTGAAATTAATCTTTCTGGCAAGCTGGCAAGGCCATTCCAACTGTGCCCTTAAGATGCACCGTAGGAAATTTAAATTAGTAGGTCATTTTGTTATCCGGCGAAGCGCGCAGTTGCTATAATTCATCAGATCAGTGCGCGACATCGTGTAGCTGCAATCGGCTCAATGAGAACGTGTCTCGGACGCAGAATTCAGGCCAAATTAAAAACATGATTCAGCAACTTTTGATTGAAATTGAGATCCTAGAATGCTGTTTTTCTCGGAACATAAAGCTGAAGTTGAGCCAAAACTTCATCAGGTTAGTTGTTCCGCACCCTCCTTTAGATTTTGAGCACATTTGTTGCTTCAAACAAACAAAATGCACAAATTACAAATGATGGACTATACCTTTAATTGTGAGTGTATTACCGGTACATGTACATTTACATGTAACAAAATAATTTCATTCTGTTGCAGTAACGTAACTCTAGATGAGGCCAATGTAAAGCAGCACAAGATCCAATCTGCATGTTGAAGTTATTATTATAATTGGTGGGAACGGCAACATAGACAAACAGTGATCTTGGTATTTGTCTTGCTTATGGATTCTGTTGCCACAATACGAACATTGTGAGTGAAATGAATTGGAAGCTTTAGAAACCTCTTTCAAACAAGGGAGCTACCGGGTATATTAGATTTGACTATTTTAAAAGGCAAACAATTACGTACCTTTCGAAAACTGGATCCCTCCCGGTAGGTCTGATTTTTATTCTTAATTTTTGGGTGCTGATTGAATGGAGTATTACACCAGGTGCCTTTTTTTCGCAAAAATTATTTCATTTACACAAATAAAAAATATTAGGGTCGGTTGTAAAATTTAGTGTCAGTTGGTAACGGAAGTAGAAGTCAATTTTCCAGCCCTATCCAGAAATAAGCAAATAGGAGTGGATGCATGCACCAGAAAGTGCAGATCCACCATATCTGGGCCCAATTTCTTGGCTCTGCTTACAGTTAGCTAAAAATCCATACTGTAGCAGAACATTATTTATGCGTATTTCATGCGTTAGCTCATGCGTACATCCCATAACTAAAGGCCTTTTCACACTATCTCCGTTTGGAACCGTGTTGAAACCTACCCGGATCCAACCCGGTTCAGCCCGAGTATTTTTCGACACGGATCGGAGAGACGCGACGTTCACACTGTCCTTTACGGGAACGGCCGCTACGTGAACCGTGTAACGTTCAATCCGGCTACGGCCCCTAGTGAATTCACACTACAAATTCTCGACACGGATCGCATTTGGCACAGGGCGCTGCGATGATTTTCTCAATCCCATAATGCATTGCGACGCACGCGGCTGCTGCGCGCACGAGGCTTACGGACAGGCCGGTGTCACGGTCTCACTTCTCCGGCGTGCTAGCTTCTCCGAAAGGGAAATTTCGCTTCAACACGCATGCACAAAATTGCGCAGTGGTGTACATTTTTTGTCAACTTTATTTGTGTGCTGAGTTCTTCGGGGTTGTACTGGTGCACGTAATATCATAAGATATTTGTATGCATAGTTACAGGTTACCAGTGGAATCCAAAATTTTCGTGGCGCGCACAACTCCCAATAACCAAAAAAGACTTGAAATGCACATTTAATTTAAGCCGCATGGTTGCAAAAATAAAGACAAAATGGACCACGAACGAGCAAGGAACACGGACCAAGGAGTTCGTTCTTAATTATTCCTCCATGAACACACACACATGCATGACGTACGCTGGGAACACAAATCAGAATGCTTGCAAGACCATGGGGGAAGTGTTACATAACGCATTCTTGGATGTCCCTCACTGTGTTATTAATAGCCTCAGTAATACAGCCCGAGGAAAAGTAAGCACAGCGGACACATGAGCATGAATCGTGCTCATGTAACGTGCACTGTAACGTGCTCAACTGTCCGCCGAATCCACCCGGAGAAGCTAGCACGCCGGAGAAGTGAGACCGTGACACCGGTGTGCAGCGTGAATTTACTACTCTGTGAAATACGGACTCATTGGTAGTATTGCGCATGCCTATTAGGAGAAGGACCTGTCACGTGAAAGGGTTTGACCAATAATAAGAGAGTAAACAAATCCAATTTGGGAGTCCGATTTTTGTACGACACCAGCGCAGCTGTGTGCTATATTTCCAAAATGGCTCCGGTCATTTCGTTAGACAATTCGTTCTATTTAACATTAGAAATGTACATTTTTGGGGTACATTTTGCGGACCTAATACCTACAAGCCCAGACTCGGTAAAGGATGCTCCATACACCGATACATTATTGGATGATAATTAGGGAGCGATTGTTTCAGGATCGGTGTTTGTGACGGCGATAGTCAGCGATAGTGGTGGAGGGAAATATTAATTATGCACTCAACCCGGGGCGGTTCATTTTCATTTTCGACACAGTTCACTACGAAAAATGCAATTTCGATCCAGGTTGAGATTTTCAACCCTGGTCCCTCCCAGGGTTGATTTCGATCCGGCTAGAGCACGCTATACCCGGGTCGGAACCAGGTTGAAATTTTAGAAGTGGGAAAAGGGTTGACAAAAATCTCGGGGTTGGAACTGGTTCCAACCCGGAGATTTTGGACAGTGTGAAAAGGCCTTAAGGATTCTGTGCTTACAGGGTTAATTGAGCACAGAAGTTTTGTGCTAGCACGGTTAGCACAAAATTGTGATCATAAATGCGGCATTCTGTGGTAGCAGAGCCAAGAAATCTGGTTATTGCAATTCTGATTGAAGATAAGTTGAAGTCAATCGCGATGTACGAACCCTGACTCTCTAGCTCGCATAACTGATAAGTGATGACAATCGGTCTTTTGTGACCGTGTTTATGTAGTACATGTATATCAACCCCCCCCCCCTAAAAATATGTATATATTTACACTTGAATCAAATTATTTTTATCTTAACAAACAAAATTATATTTACCTGGTCCCTCCAACGGGAAGTTGTAATTATTAATATTAACTGCACTTGAACCAACAATGATAGGGTTGTTGCTGCCACTGATTGTGCCGCTGTTTCCGATGGTTCCACTTCGTTGTGGGGAATCTACAATTTAGAAGCAGGAATTAACGGCCAACAAAAATGATGCCTGTACTAATTTCCATCTCTATTTGTCATCTGTACTTAAACATTGCCTTTCTACGGAGCCCCTAAAGGGACATTCAATATTTCTTTTATCTCGTGTGCACGATATAAAAATGTCATAACAAAATATATGTCATAAATATGTCATAACAAAATTGGACGAGTAAATAATAGATGACTTTTTTGGGACTTGAGTTACAGAGCTCGTATCAGGAGCTTGTGACACCATCACGGTGTCTTTGTCAACTGGTGTTGTTGAGGCCCTCACAGGACCCGTCACGTGACCAAGCTTGGTCACATGACAGGAGGTGGTCATACATGTGGGCCAGCTTGTACCCTCCATCTCTGTTCATATGGGGGCGGTGCTTGCAGATTTTCACAGCTTCGCAGATTTTGCTTTTCCAGAGGTCGTCCTCCCTGGCGATGATCTTAACATTGTCCACGGAGATGCTATGTCCTGGGTTATGTTCACCAACTGCTGTCAGTGGGATCGGGTCTGCAGAGTGCGAGCTGTTTTCCCGATATAATTGTCTTCATAGCCATCACACGCCATCTGGTATACGAGGCCACATTTCTTGAGGTCTGGAGTCTAAATTGTCTTTCAGGCTGATCAACTGGGAGCGAAGAATGTTGAACGGTTGACGTGCTACCGTGACACTGTGTTCATGAAACACACACTCCAGCTGTTCAGACAGACCTCGGATGTATGGGAGAATGGCCATAGGTTGTTGCTTTGCATTGGTGGTCGTCTTAGAGGCAGCTCCAGTTGTTGGTTTCTTTTTAGGGATCTTGAATGCCCACAGTTGGTACCCGTTGGCAGTGAGAGGGTTTTTGACGTGGTTAAGTTCAGTCTCGCTGTCCTCCTCTTCTGTGATGACTTGGTCGATCCGGTGGCAAATTAGGAGTGTGAACCACGGACCTTTTGTGTGCCAGATGGTGATTGGACCCAAAGTTCAAATATTGGTCGGTGTGAGTCGGCTTCCTGTAGACAGTTACTTTAGTGGATCCGTCACTTTTGATGTGGGAGCAGGTGTCTAGGAACGGAAGTTTGGAATCTGTCTCAGGTTCCATTAGTAAACCTGATGTTGGGATCAAGGCTGTTTATGAGTCGGGTGAAACCTTGGATTGCTAACTCCTGTATCTCCACAAAGGTATCGTCCACATAGCGGTATACGTACCACTGATTTGGAGGGGTAGGAGCAGTTGACAACGCTCGACGTTTGAAATCCTCAGTGTACTTTGGGCGACCAGTGGGGATACTGGGGAACCCATTTCAGTTCCATATGTGTTTGCTGGTAGTACGTGCCGTCATACACAAAGTATATGTAGTGTCCAAACAGAAGACCAGCATCTCAATGATCTGCTCAACCGTCATTTGGGTGCAGGTATGGGGAGAGTCGTCAGTTTCGAGTGTGTGTCTGCATGACCACCCTGACCGCGTCTTTAACAGGGATGCTTGTGAACAATGCAGTCACGTCGTATACGGCACAATTTTGCGACCTGGTGGAACTTCGAGGTCCGCAATCTTGTTCACAAAATCAGCACTGTTCTTGATGTGATGCAACGTGTTCCCAAAGAATGGAGTCAAGATGTTTGCCAGGACCTTAGCTGCAAAGCTGTGAGTTTGTGTGAAATGACAGCAGCATGTTTATTGGGAGGGGGTGTAATAATGCAGGCACTATACAGTACATGTCAAGTCAGTTAGGACGGGGATTTTTTTTGGGGGGGGGGCCGCTTTCATGATTAATTTTGTCAAACTTGCAATGACTTGGCCTTTATTGAGAAAGATAAGTGTTTTATGTTGAGTAAATAGAGGAAGAACCGGTATGTGCATGCAAACTTCAGGAAATCATCAATTGAATTTAGTTTTATTGATGTGTAGAGGTGTGTAATTTTATTTATCGCCTTATTGCCCAGAGGGCGCCCTTGCGTCTTACTGTGTTGCAGCGTTCCTTTTTCAAATCAGCTGGAACAGACTAGGCCTCGACCTGAGAAAACCTTTCATAAAATACTCTCTGAGGAGATCTTGGTGGGTATCTATATATCACATGAAAGCACACTTATTGTGGATCAAGATTATATACTTTATGGCTTGGGTAGGAACCGATTATGGAATATTTTAGCTTGTAACTTTGGGTCATGATCGTCACAATTCATTGTTTTGAGTGCACATGATTTTTGCGATTTTGGGCAGAAAAATCTAAATATCCAGCTTGTCAAGGAAGTGTATTTTTTAAAGGATTTTGTGAGTTATTACACTTAAGATGAATGTCAATTACTATTTTTGTCTTCCCTGAGCCGCACGGCTGTATGAAATGACAATAAATTAATAGGAAAAAAGAGTGAAGAGTGCTTTCTATCGTTAAAAGAGCCCGCCCCCCCCCCCTCCCATCTTCGAATTTGAAGCCCTTGGCATGGAAATTTGGGGGAAAAGTTGTTGGGTCCGTCCTTGGTACCCACTCATAAACTTGTGGTACCCCACGGGCCCCCCATAACCCACTGACAAAGTCATGGCCTAGCCACTAGTGGAATGGCGAAAGATGGTAGACCTTTTAGGTTTTCTAAGGATGGTAGACCTTTTAGGTTTTCTAAGGATGGGAATAAGGCTAAGGCCCCACCCAGCTAGAACAATCAGTTCAATGTTTGACAGCTGATTGTCCGACAGGTTTTTACCATTTAACATGTTAAAGCATACTTTTTAAGCCTTCAGCTCAAGAGATTATCTTTGCGTCATTTTTACGCTTTTTGCAAATTTTACGAAATTGGACAGATCTGCAAGAGAGCGTGGCAATTGTGGCTTGGCAATGTACGCTGGTTTGAATATTGTGTGTGCTGATGAGACCTTTAATTTTCTTGAAGTTTTCCCAACAATAAAACTATATCAATTGATTATTCCCCAAGTTTACCTGCACATACATGTAACAGTTCTTAATTCCTTGTTATTTTCTTAGCTATAAAACATAAGTTTGGCCCTTCACCGACGTATAAACCCCCGGGGCGCAAATTCCATCTTAAGAATTTTTAGCTATTTAAACACTTCTCTCTCTCAAAAAGGCCGTCTTACAAAATTAATCAAAAATCCCCATCTATCTGACTTGACATGAAACGTAGTGGCTGCATTGATGATTACGCCCCCTCCCAAATAAACACACTGCTTTCGTTACAAATAAAGTCATCTGATTTTGTGCACGCCACGTGCAGCCAGCTAGCTCCTTATATATAATTATGTCGTGCGCATGAGATATTATTTCGTGTGCACAAGATTACAAAAAATAATATTGAATGTCCCTTTATGGGCTCCGTACCTTTCATAGAAGAAAAACATTTTTTATTCAATCTGACCGATAATAGACAAAGAAGTACAAGAAATACCAGGCTACATCTACCGGTACATGCATGTCTTAAATCTTCAGGTGAGGTGGGGAGGGGGAGGGTGGTAAATGCCCCTCCACTATTAAAAGGTTCAAAACCGACTACAAGCAACTACAGGGTGAGTAAAAAAAAAGAAACCCAAATGGCGCCCCCTATTTTTTGAAGAAGTTGTGCATGTAGCACTTTCCAGATCTAGGATATGAAAGCTAAATTACTAAGCTTTCTGTTAGTGAAAGAAACATTCAAATCGCTCATGCACTTTTCCAGTTATGGAATTTTGAAGACAAACACCGTTTTTAACCTTGTCCACGAATCACATTTGGCATGTGATATTTCAGTATTAAAAATGAACCATGTCGCATCCTGAAAATGATATCAGAATAATTAATCCCAATCTCTGGGGTAGCCCAGAAGAAGGCAGCTAGGGCAAAACAATAAACTATTGACAGTATAAAGCCTCATATTTTAACCACTTCGCACCAGGTGTATTTTTGCCGAATGTTGACATTTTCAAAATGCAAAATTTGCCAGCCAACTTCTGATAAACATGTACATGTACAGCCAAACGCCACAAATACTGATTCGCAAAAGTGATTTGAACAGTATTTGTACGATATTTCTTGTCGATAACTCATACATGTACATGTATGTTTCAACACTCAATAAATGTTATGATTAGCAGGCGCGGATCCAGGATTTTTTTAGACGGGGGGCCCACTTTTAGAGCATTTGCTCTGATGAATAAGGCGAGCGCGGAGCGCGAAGCCAATACGGCGTGGGGTCCGGGGCCCGCTTAAGGGCCCCGGGAAATTTTGGATTCTAGATGCTCTGTGGTGCAATCTTAGGCGATTCCTGGCCCGTTTCCCCCTGAATTGTTTGAGCAAAAGTTGCTAAGCTTATAAGAACTTTTTAAAATATACTCTTGTTTTTACACATTTTAAGCTACTGTGTACTTCAAAGTTGCAAACCATGTATTTTCGTCTTCAAAAATTTCTTGCATTGTATTTACAAAAAAAAAAGAGGAATAGCATTGACTTAGGTTGTAAACTGTTGCAACGATGCGCTGGGGCATTTGCTCCACGGACTAATTCGAACGCGGAGCACGAATGTCTTAAGGCGTGGGGTTCGGGGCCCACTGAAGGGCACCGGGAAATTTTTGATTCTATGCATTCTTTGTGGTGCAAACTGAGGCGATTCCCTGCCCCATTTCAGCAAAATCTTGTGAAGATTATGAGGATTTTTTTTTCATTATCGCTTCGGTTTGCGGTTTTCTTTATTTTTGGTTCATTAGTTGAAAATTGTTCCCTCGTATTTTAATACAAGCCTTTTAAGTTTCTTCTGTTCTTCACTTGATAACCAAGTATTTTTGACTGCATAATCAATTTCCTGCATGTTATTTTTGAAAAGGAATTGGATAGCATTAGTTTGTAAACTGTTTTAAGGATGCGTAGGGACATCATGACCCGAGGACTAATGCGGAGCGCGAATGTCTTACGGCGTGGGGTCCGGGGCCCGCTTAAGGGCCCCGTGAATTTTTTTGATAACTAGCTGCTCTGTGGTGCAATCTGAGGCGATTCCTGGCCCCTATCTCGAGTTATTTGAGCAAAATGTTTTAAGTTAAATAAGGATTTTTTTCAATGGATTAATATATGCTCTTGCATTAACAAGACTTTTAAGTTTCTTCTGTTTTTCACTTGATAACCATTTTCGTCTGCATAATTATTTTCGTGCATTTTATTTTTGAAACGGAATTGTATAGACTTAGTCTGTAAACTTTTGCAAGGGTGCTTTCTAATGTTTTGTATCAAGTTTAATTTTTTAGTTTATCAATAAGATAACAATTTCTACGGAAATGTTCTACGGAAACGGACATGTTTTGGACTCCTTTAAAGCGCGTGGAGGTTGCCCTCCTCCTTCCCTCCATTTCTCTCACCTTCCCCCCTTTTTCCCCGTTTTATTCATTTTTTTAAACTTAATTTGACGGGGGGCACGTGCCCCCGCGGCCCACCCCTGGATCCGCGCCTGATTAGTGCCAGTTACCATGGTTATGAGAATGTTCTGATGTGTTTGATATGGGAATAGTTTTCGTTTTGCTAAAACATCACTAACCTTTGTGATCTGTGGAAAAGCTTAAAAATTGGTGTTTGCCTTCAAAATTCCTAAACCTGGAAAAGTACCGGTACATGAGCAATTTGAATGGTCCTATCACTGAATAAAAACTTATTAATTGGGCTTTCATATCCTAGATCTGAAAAGCACTACATGCAGTACTTTTTTTTTTTTAAATAGGGGCACCATTTGGGTTTCCTCTGTTTTTTTTACTCACCGTGTATAGCTACTACCTGCTTACCTAATGCAGCAGGTACCTGAGCCTCCTGTTGCATCGTGGTAGGGACATTCGTCCGTTGGTAGGCTGCTTCAGATTGTTGCATCATGGAAGGGACATTAGTCCCTCGGTAGGCTGCTGCAGATTGTGGCATCGTGGTGGGGACATTAGTCCATTGGTAGGCTGCTCCAGATTGTTGCATCATGGAAGGAACATTAGTCCGTTGGTAGGCTGCTGCAGATTGTTCCATCGTGGTGAGGACATCAGTCCGTTGGCTGGCTGCTTCAGATTGTTGCATCATGGAAGGGACATTGGTCTGTTGGTAGGCTGCTGCAGGTTGTTGCATCATGGAAGGGACATTAGACCGTTGGTAGGCTGCTGCAGATTGTTGCATTGTGGTAGGGACATTAGTCCGTTGGTAGGCTGCTCCAGATTGTTGCATCATGGAAGGGACATTAGTCCGTTGGTAGGCTGCTGCAGGTTGTTGCATCATGGAAGGGACATTAGACCGTTGGTAGGCTGCTGCAGATTGTTGCATTGTGGTAGGGACATTAGACCGTTGGTAGGCTGCTGCAGATTGTTGCATCATGGAAGGGACATTAGTCTGTTGGTAGGCTGCTTCAGATTGTTGCATCATGGAAGGGACATTAGTCCGTTGGTAGGCTGTTGCAGATTGTTGCATCATGGAAGGGAAATTAGTCTGTTGGTAGGCTGCTTCAGGTTGTTGCATCATGGAAGGGACATTAGTCCGTTGGAAAGCTGCTGCAGATTGTGGCATCGTGGTGGGGACATCAGTCCGTTGGTAGGCTGCTGCAGATTGTTGCATCATGGTGGGAACATCAGTCCGTTGGCTGGCTGCTGCAGATTGTTGCATTGTGGTAGGGACATTAGTCCGTTGGTAAACTGCTGCAGATTGTGGCATTGTGGTGGGGACATCAGGCCGTTGGCAGGCTGCTTCATATTGTTGCATTGTGGTGGAGACATAAGTCCGCAGGTAGGCTGCTTCAGATTGTTGCGTCATGGAAGGGACATTAGTCCGTTGGTAGGCTGCGGCAGATTGTTGCATCGTGGTGGGGACATTAGTCGCTTGGTAGGCTGCTGCAGAAAGTTGCATCGTGGTCGGGACAAAAGTCTGTTGGTAGGCTGCTGCAGATTGTTTCATGATGGTTGGGACATAAGTCCGTTGGTAGGCTGCTGCAGATTGTTGCATCGTGGTGGGGACATTAGTCTGTTGGTAGGCTACTGCAGATTGTTGCATCATGGTTGGGACATCAGTCCGTTGGCTGGCTGCTGCAGATTGTTGCATCATGGTAGGGACATTAGTCCGTTGGTAGGCTGCTGCAGATTGTTGCATTGTGGTGGGGACCAAAGTCCGTTGGTAAGCTGCTGCAGATTGTTGCATCGTGGTTGGGACATTAGTTCGTTGGTAGGCTGCTGCAGATTGTTGCATCGTGGTAGGGACATCAGTCCGTTGGTATGCTGCTTCAGATTGTTGCATTGTGGTGGGGACATTAGGCCGTTGGTAGGCTGCTGCAGATTGTTGCATCATGGTTGGGCTATAAGTCTGTTGGTAGGCTGCTGCAGATTGTTGCATCATGGAAGGGACATAAGGCCATTGGTAGGCTGGTGCAGATTGTTGCATCGTGGTAGGGACATAAGGCCGTTGGAAGGCTGCTGCAGATTGTTGCATCGTGGTTGTGACATAAGTCCGTTGGCTGGCTGCTGCAGATTGTTGCATCATGGAAGGGACATAAGTCGCTTGGTAGGCTGCTGCAGATTGTTGCATCGTGGTTTGGACATTAGTCCATTGGCAGGCTGCTGCAGATTGTTGCATCGTGGTGGGGACATTAGTCCATTGGCAGGCTGCTGCAGATTGTTGCATCGTGGTGGGGACATCAGTCCGTTGGCAGGCTGCTTCATATTGTTGCAATGTGCTGGGGACATCAGTCTGTTGGTAGGCTGCTTCAGATTGTTGCATCGTGGTAGGGACATCAGGCCATTGGCAGGCTGCTTCAGATTGTTGCATCGTGGTGGGGACATTAGTCCATTGGCAGGCTGCTGCAGATTGTTGCATCGTGGTGGGGACATTAGTCCATTGGCAGGCTGCTGCAGATTGTTGCATCGTGGTGGGGACATTAGTCCATTGGCAGGCTGCTGCAGATTGTTGCATCGTGGTAGGGACATCAGGCCATTGGTAGGCTGCTGCAGATTGTTGCATCGTGGTGGGGACATTAGTCCATTGGCAGGCTGCTGCAGATTGTTGCATCGTGGTGGGGACATCAGTCCGTTGGCAGGCTGCTTCATATTGTTGCATTGTGGTGGGGACATCAGTCTGTTGGTAGGCTGCTTCAGATTGTTGCATCGTGGTAGGGACATCAGGCCATTGGCAAGCTCCTGCAGATTGTTGCATCGTGGTGGGGACATCAGTCCGTTGGCAGGCTGCTTCATATTGTTGCATTGTGCTGGGGACATCAGTCTGTTGGTAGGCTGCTTCAGATTGTTACATCGTGGTAGGGTCATCAGGCCGTTGGTAGGCTGCTTCAGATTGTGCATCCATGGTTCTTTGGATCACCGGCCCACAATTGGCAGTCCTGTTTGTCAATGATTAAGGAAAAAACTGTGTCACGTTTCATTCTTTGGTGGATTAACTTTGGAATATTTTAACAGATTTGTGAACGCACCCACGACCACTGACAAGGCAAATGGCAGGGCAAGCCTATAGTCTGAGCATTTGGGACTCTCAATAAACCTGATTGACATTCACATTGCACCAAGGGTACAGAAAACAACCAACCAATACAGTTCATGCATAAACCAATAGGGGCAGTGAGCCAGTCATGCTTTAAAGTATTTTAAAATTGATCATTGTATAATTCATCTATTAATAAATTAAAGCGTGGATTGTGAGAAACAATTTGTACATACACTTGAAAAGTTTTTAAACTTTGAAAATAAAAGAAGAAATAATCTCAAAATTTATTTCCAGGTTCCAGTCATCGGGCTCAGTGGAACAACAAAATTGGTCACAGTAGAAGCATGGAGCTTGACAACTTGATTGGCCAGTATTGGCATTATATTCATGTTCATGGGTATGAAACACGTCTCAAAGGGGGTTCACGAAAATTCTTTTGATTCTGATAAGCTTTAAAAACTGTTTGTTTTATTGATAGGCTTAATTCGCATATATATGTTACACCCCAATTTGGCTTTTGGTCCCAACATATGTTGGGATGGTCCCAACCAGAGATGCTACAGGGTCTGCTTGAAAAAAACAGGGAACAGGGTCTGATTGAAAAAACCGGAACAGCTGCTTGAAAAAAACGGAATTCTATTTTTTGTGAAAAAGCCACTCTGACACAAAGTCCCCGCCATGGGCGTCGCCAGGATTTTTTCTAGAGGGGGGCAAAAATTTTTTTTGCCAAAAAATGTTTGTATTTCTCAACACATTCTCGATTTATCAGTTTTAGAGGGGGGCAGGGACATTTTGCCCCCCCCCCCAACTCATTAAATTTACACCACTTTGTCTTCGCGCCTCTTTTTCTTTCTTTTTTTTCCTTTCTTTTTTTTTTTTTTTATTTTTTTTTAGGCTTTTCCAGGGGGGGGCAAGTGCCCCCCCTTGCCCCCCCCTCGCGACGCCCATGGTCCCCGCTGTCATCTTTCTCTTGTAGCTAAACCCATTTCCATTTATTTTTTATTTTTGCTTCTGTGGCCTTTAACTCTAACGTGTCTAAGCTGTCGGTTCGTTCAATCACTTTGAATTTTTCCATATTCCTATTTTTTATTTGGCCTACCCGAATTTCCAACGTTTTCTAGACGAAAAATGCACCATTCCACAACACTGTCAGTGTACAGTGTACATGACGTGACGAAAACATGGTTGGTACCCGGCGTTTTTTGTATTCACATACATGTATATCACTGCGCTCGGAAACCACGGATAACTGAAATGATAGACTTGATTTCGACGCGTGCTCCGTTGTATACTGAGTTCAAGTTCGTTGGCCACCTGTATCGCATGCAGGCTTGGCAACAACAATAGACTTGTTTTTAAGACTACCTGACTTCAACGAACAACATTGTGCCATGCGTGCCCAAGGCCTGTACTCAACTCGAGAGCACTAACGAGGTAAAAATCAACGCATTTCCACAGTTTTTCTTCTCTTTTTCCAGTGTTTTTTTTTTTAAGCCGGAAAAAAAGAACAGATAAAAAAAAAGGAATTGCGGCTAAAACTTAATCTGTACCCATCATCCTAGTCTGAAAATTGGGGACTCTTAATACTGTGTATGACAATCCCAAATCTAAGGATAGTTTAACACAGTGCAGCTTATAGTTGGGATTATATAACTGACATACAGATCCTAGTCATTTGATTGGTGGAACTCACATCGCATGACATTCGTTATTGCTCCCATTCACACCGCGGCTCAAAAAGTACTATCCGCCCATGGGGAATGGGAAATACTATTCAACAGTTAGGATCATGACGCGGTATTTGTGTGCAAATGAATGCTGGTGTGTGCGTTCAGCGTTTCGCGTAGCGCGTATTGTTCCAAGAGCCAGCGCTACAGCGTTAGGTTCAAACATTTTCGTGATGGTGTGGTTTTGAAGAGAGAAATAGATTTTCCTTCAGTTTTGTATTAAAAAAAAGTTCAAATATATCAAATGACAAGGATCTATATGTAAGTTATATAAAACAAATATTGAGTGGCTTTAAATTGTGAAATGGGAGGAATATTATCGCTCGGTAAAATCTAGACTTTTCAAGTTCACTCGGCTTCGCCTCGTGAAATGGAAAAGTCCAGATTTTACCTCGCGATAATATTCCTCCCATTCCACGCTGAGCCACTCAATATTTGTATACCATCGCAACATATGTATAGATTGTCCAAACTTCAGCTGCATTGGCCCACCCATCGTAGTCTGAAGATTTGGGACTCTCAATACTGTGTATGATAATCCCAAACCTTAAGATAGTAGAAACGCACATGTATGCAATACAAGAAAATAGACTGGCACACGGAACCAGTCCAACATCCCTTTAGTACTGCAGCTGCATCAATTAACTGTGTCAAAAGAAACATCTAGTACCTAGCATCTCTGTTTCTACACATTTTCTCAAGGCAAGCAACCAGACTACTGAAGGAACATTCTTTCCAAAAAGAAATATACATGTACTTTAGAAATTTAAACAAGAAACAATTTTGGGGTACCAGTTACGTGTACATGTACATGTATAAGGCCAAGTAGAACAATTGTGATTGGTTAGTGTTGGTGGGACCTGAATAATTGCTGTTACCATAATTTATTGTCCTTGACCAATGCAGCCGTGCTCCAGCCTGAAGGGCCTACATGATGCGTATTTTGAAGACTGCATGCCCTATGCCCTCATGCATTATTTCCTGCACGTCACATCAAGTACAAACATTTTTTCAAGACTTCGCAATGCCTACATTATAAACTGACCAGCGTAATAAATAGTGTGACCGTGCAGTGGAACAAAATTTACCACTGCATTAAACTTCTGTTTTTGTGCAAGTGGCCAGTCTGTGGAGTGTGGATTGGGATGAATGTGATTATTACGACTGCGGTAATAAGGGAGTCCACCTGGGCTAGGAAAATATTGAAGCATTTCCTATTAAGAAAACAATTAGAATTTTTTCTAAAGTCAAGTGATGTCCAGGTATGGAAATTCTTTCTGAAGTCCGATTTTTGAATGATAAAAAACACCCTTGACTCTAATTTAGTAGAAACTATAACAGACTGAGCTGAGAGTAGACTTTGTAGTTTATTTACGTGTTAGAAGCACACACACCCTTACTAGCAATGCAAAAGAAGTATCTGCTTTCTCATATGTCTACTTTGCATGTAATTTCCAAGCTTGTTTGCACACGTTTGTATCTAAATTCCAACATCGAAAAGATCACGCGCAATGCACACGTAAGGTCCAATGCTAGCACAAAAAAAGACCACGGAGTGGACATGGCAGGTCTGGGTTGCCACGTGTGCCTTGACTAAAGATATAAAAATGAGTGCAAATGAGCCTGGAAATTACACGAAAAGTAGACATCTGAGCAAGCAGATACTTCTTGTCCATTGCATATTGCTAAAGAGGATGAAATAAACTACAAACAAAGTTTGAATGCGAAAATCCAATTATTACTAGTCCTAAATGTTTGGGTATATTATGCGGGTGTGGCCTATATTGACGGAGGTAGTCCAATAAATTGGCCACATTTATGGGGCTAAGCTAAAGCTGAGGGGCCCGTAAAAACACAACCTGACAACCTCAATCCTGTCAGTAGCTCTTTCTTGGGGCCGGCCTAGCTTAAGTACATGTAGCTCCAGCTGACATGCTCATCAGGAATTCACATGTAACGCTGGAGACAAAACTACGTCTTAAATTTATGTGAGATTGTAAGACACCCTAAAAAGATGGCCTCCACAAAATGGTTATTTTTTCCCCTTATTTTGTATTATCCCAACCAGATTCCATTAAACATACGTCATAGTTTGCACTCAGTCATGTCATTCACGAAGCCAATGATTGACTTGAAACAGAATAAAAATTACTAAAATATGAAAAATGTTGATGATTTCAGTGGCTTCTTCAGAAAAACTGTCCAGTGCCGCTGTACTGTCATGCACGGCTGTATTGTGTGCTTGTGCCGATCAGCCAATCAGATTATTCTTCGAACATGTCGAATAATTGAGGAATAATCTGATTGGTTGATCGGCACAAGCACACAATAAACATGATAAACCACAACACAGCCATGACTGGACCCATGAACATGGCTATATATACATTTACAACACCTCCTGCTTGTTCTTTATCCTGGTTGGCTGAAACGCGGTCACGTGTGTTTCACTAAGATCTATAGGCTAGTGTGTGAAACTTGCGTCAGCGTGAACTAGACATGCTAGACGCGCTTCGAGACATCGCACGCGCGTAATTTCCAGAGTAAAGCCTAGTGCATAGAGCTACATGTATATTAAATTACAAGAGCGCTACATGTAACTCCTCATTTTTGCGTGTGGAGATGCTTTGAAGCCGCTCTGGGTGCAGACATTTTGATTTTATTTGCGTGTTTGAAGAACACAATCAAAAAAGATGGATTGAATTTTAAAGCGTACTCTAAATGCAAAGCGCAAGTAGAAGATACGCAAACAACTTAAGCACGTCATGGCGGTTCAAAAAGCGTCACGGCGAAAAGCATCTGCAACTGAGGGACGCGCACATACGGAAGACGGATAGTGCCACTCAATGAGTGTGAATATATTTTTTTGGTGCGTGTGAAAATATTTTGTTTGTACAGTCGCCGCCACTTATATGTGGCGGCCGCCAGAAAATAAGTGGCGGCCACCACATAAGTCGTCATAATAAGTCAGCCCCACCGGTCACCATTTTGATGTATGTCATATGTACATGTAACAGACTGGCACAACCTTCCTTACTTGTACTGTGATCTCCACGGTACGCATGTAAAGCGTATGCATCGTTGGTAAAGAGATAACACAGTTCTGGAACAAATATAAGGCTGTGACCCAGGTATGTGATAGTACCTCCCTGATTTTTACGCGCGCACAAACACGCGGGGAAATAGTAAAAACTTTCATATGGTTGAGTTGCTGGAATTGACCAATGAAATGCTGCAGTTACCTGATGAATATTTATGAGGTATAGTAATAAGGCCAAAAAAAAAAAAATAGTTCTGCTTCTCGTTACTTGACCGACCCTATTTTTAGGCTGCGACCGTAAACATTTTATCGGCAATTCAAAAACAAAACAAAAGAGATTGAATAAATAAAAATGTAATCTTGTTGTCTTTTCTGTCTTCACAAAATACCTCTCATCAACCCTTTTCCATCAAAAAATGCTTGTATCTATTTGTTTTCTTACTTACATTCGCTTTTTTTCAAAAGAAACCTCCGTTATTTTTACAAATTCGCTTCGCGATATAACCATTCGCAATTCGATGTCATGGTGACTATAATCATGTGGCGACAACTGGTTCCCGCCGCTGCGCAGGGGCCAATTTAGAAGACATGATGAAAATGCGGTAACTAGTCCATAGCTATGCGACCGATAGCGCGCTAGCAGTGCAGGCCACTGTCAACTGGTCGGATTCGACATCGTAAAAATGCCAAGAAAACACCGATGGAGAGAGAACATTTTTGCAAGTTAATTTACAGAATTGATCTTAGCTTGTCTGCGTATGTATTTTCTGTGTTCAAGAGTTCATTTTGAGATCGCACTACTCGTACATAAGTGATACATGCTGCGTGTTTCCCGAAATTTTTGACCGAAAAAACAGGTCTGTCAGCCCATGGTGCGCTGCTCGCCACACATCACACACCTAGGGGTTTTGGCCAGCTCCCCGTGTTTTGACTAGCGTTGTGCATATGGTGCGAACGACCTGAATTTTCCATTATTTTTTGAAATTATCGATCTTAAATATTTTAACAATAATTAAAGGTAGGTTTTATTCACTTTTTGCCATTTCGTATATAGCTTTCGAAGTGCAATGGAAATAGTTCAGGCTAAAACGTCACATATAATTGCATACCCCATTCAAACTGCATAAAAAAAATTGGCAAAACAATTTTTTTCGACTGACCGACCCTATTTTTAAAAGGCATGTAATCGAAAGCAGAACTTTTTTTTGTTTGCCTAATCATTATAACACATCTCTTGCTGGTTCTTTATCATGGATGGCTGAAACCCAGCCATGTGTGGTTCACTAATATAGACTAGTATTATTAATTATTAATTAATGACATTTGCGTCAGCAGAACTAGGTGCGCATCAAGACATCACGTATGCGTAATTTCCAGAGTACAGTGCCAGACAGGGCACTATATTCAAATGTTTTGACTGGTTACATTACCCTCTGTTTCAACTTCCACGTATTGCGTTTAATTGCTTATTGTTGAATTGCTTATGAGTCAAATGAGACCGTAGGTTTGCATGGTGAGCATTGTGCACATGATCAATGAATGGGAGGTTTGTAACACCATGGGAATGATATCTTTGTGAGTTGTGTCGTTCTGAATAGAACCAGTTGGTTTAACTCCGAGTGAGTTAATTGTTGCATTAAAACAGTTCAAATTAAAAACTCTTATTTTATATTTTGGACAGTGGTGTGTTATAAAACTCATGTGGCATAATTTGGTCACTCACTAGTGCATGTCAATGCCCCCCTTGGGCCTGTGAGTGACCAGAAGAGGGTCCTATATCCCTCGGCCTTCGGATCACTCACAGTCCCTCGGATTGTACAGACGTGCACTAGTCATTGCCAGTCTATAGAGTACAATAGTGTGACCATGCAGTGGAACTTCTATTTACCACTGGATGAAACTTCTGTTTTTGTGGTGTGGCCAGGCCTTGGGTTGGGATGAAGTCATGTGATCAATGACCACCAATCAGATGGTCAAAGGGGATTTTGACGTTGTGTAATGACAGACATTTTATTCCCATTTTTCAGGCATGATACCATTTGCAGAGCTCTGTCAATCAATGGTGACAGTCAGCTTTAAAGGTACTGGTACATGTACATGTAGCTCAATCAGGTGTTTCACGGTAATATGCGCCATCTTGCCTGCGGGGCAATTTTACACGCATTGCTTTGTACGTATCGTCAATGGAAAAGTTTGGTGCTTCCAAGTCATTATGCGTTCATTCCAAAATGCGCGCGCATCTAGCAACCTATGTTCTTTTTGCCCCGCAAACAAGATGGCGCATATTACCGTGAAATGCCTTATTGCAGCTATCCAAAAGGTAAACTGACAAAATTATTGTTGAAAACCTTACTTGGTTTAAAGATAGCAAACTAGTGAAATTATTCTTTCTGGCATGCTGTCATTGTGAAGAAAACAATAAAAAAAACATGATGCGTCAAGTGTCGCATTTTTGGAAATTTCAGTTAGTAGTTGGTTCGTAATTTGGCAAATCCCTGAATGGGTGCACACACAAGAGTTGACACGAGGCACACAGGCGCGCGGTTGCTATTGATTCGTTAGCTCAGTACGTGACACTGCGTAGCTGCTATCAGCTGAATGAGAATGTGTCCTGGATGCTGATTTTGGGTGCAATTCAAAACATGACGTGGCAACTTTTGAATTGAAACCGACGTCGTATTCACAGAGCTTCATCAGGTTAGTTTTTAAACACCTGTCTTAGAATTTGAGTACTTTTGGTGTTCGAAATAAAATGCAAAATGACAAATGATTTACCCTACCTTTAATGCAACAGATACATGCATCTGGCTCTGGACACGTACCCATCAACAACCCAAAAGACTGCACCATCAATATCTACCAATCAAAAGGTAGAAAACAAATAATTAATGATACACAATCTACTTTGTATTTCTGTACATCCACCAGAGTTGCAACGAGTCACTGAATTTTGTGACTCGAGTTGATTCAAGTCATTTTAAGGAAGTGACTCGGGTCGAGTCGAGTCATTAGGTCAAGAAGGTCGATTCGAGTCACAGTGTGTTCTCGAGTCAAGTCGAACCAAGTCAACTTTATGCTTAAGTTAATTCGAGTCACTGATAACACACGAACACCATGTAATAAATGATGGAATACAAGAACGAACACAAGGCGCCAGTTAATTATGAAGATAAACTGTCAGGAATAATTTTACGCCGACATCAAAACCAAATTGCAACATACAAAATTGAACTGATTATAGACAAATATAATTATTTTTTGAAAGCGTGACATAGTCATCTGATGAGGGGCTCTAGTCGAATCATTTGCTCCCAGTGACTCGAGTCGAGTCAATGGATCATTTGGGACTCAAGTCGAGTCGCCAAGTTGTCAGACTCGAGTCGAGTCATTGACTCGAGTCATTACAACTCTGGCATCCAATCATATTTGCTTATTCCTGGCAATGTGTAACTTAATGCATGCGATTGAAAGAGGTTTCTGATGAAGCGTTCAATTATAAGTCGAATTGGGAGCAGGCCTAGTTGACCTCAATATTCAGAGAATAAATGTGTGCTGGGCCAGTTTGAACACTCTGTTTAAAGGTACAATCCATCATTTGTGATTTGTGCATTTTGTTCGTTTGAAGCAACAAGCTGGCTCACAATCTAAAGAAGGGTGTTAAACAGCTAAACTGATGAAGTTTCAGCTCAGCTTCAGCTGTATATTCCGAGAAAAACAGCATTCAAGGATCCCGATTTCAAATCAAAAGTTGCTGAATCATTTTTTGAATTGGGCCTGAATTCAGCGTCCGAGACACGTTCTCACTGAGCTGATTGCAGATACGCGATGTAGCGCACCTATCAAACAAATCATAGGAACCACGAACACATTTGCGTCGTGCCAACGCTCGCGCACGCTTGCGCCCGCTTCGCTGAATAAAAAAAACGAACTGCTTATGGAAATTTCCAACGGTGCGTCTTATGGAAAGGCCATCTTTCATTGATTTCTTCAAAATGACAGCTTGCCAGAAAGAAGAATATCACAGGGAATTTATTCCCCTTAATATCTTTCAACCAAGTATGTTTTTCAACAATAATTACGTCAGTTACTTTTTGGATAGCTGCAAATGATGGACTGTAGCTTTAACATCGGTTGGAATCTGGATGCTGATAATATCCGAGCTGAAGCATCCAGAAACAAACATCACGGAGAAAGCGCGACGCACGCACCAATCTCCATACATGGAGTTGTGTTTTACTTTTTGCAAGATGGACATTCCATTATATAGCTAGAGGGGTGCTTTGTTGAACAAAATCGTTGGAAAAGCATTCAATCGTCATAACAGACATCGAAAAAAAATATTAATCGAGAGGAATACTGTAAAAGTAGTGTTTGAAATTCTCTTTCTTTTTGTTGAGTAGGGCAGAGCACGATTGGCTGTACGATAACTAATTAAGTTTGAAGACGTTGAAATAAAAAGGGAGCTGACTTGGTCTTTGTTGCAGGATGGGGTAATGCCGGGGAAAATGCCTTTAATTTTTAAACCAGTTGTGATGCCACCATGAACTTTTGTAAAACTAAAGGAGACAATCTGTTATAGTTCATGTCTCAATCTCATCAAGCTTCAACAGGTATGTGTAGTTTTTTCATTTCGAGTCAAGGAAGTCCAGCATCACATTTAAAATGTATGTCGATCAGAAATAGCGCCCGTCAGTAGGCCGTGTGAAACACAAGCGGGGAACCTTGCTGACAACAACCTGGATGGGGTATATCGGAGAGAATGCCTCTCATTTTTATACTGATTGCAATGCCAGCCAGACCGTTTATGTAAATAAAGGAGAGAATCTGTTAAAAATCTTGTGTAAATCTCTTCAAATTTGCATACTACGTGTACTTTTTCCACCACAAGTGGAAGAAGTCCAGCACCACGTTCAAAATGTACGTTGATCAGAAACATTATTACGCCCCAGCGCTCATGTGAAACACAATGCGGGAAAGCTTGCTTGCATACAAGCTGGACAGGGTATGCTGGGGAAAATCATCTCATTTTGAAAGTGATTGCGATGCCACGTTGAAGGTAAAACTAAAGGAGAAAATCTGTTAAAGTTCATGTGTAAATCTATCATTAAGCTTCTATTTGTAGGTTTCTACAACAAGTTTGAGGAAGTCCAGCACCACATTCAAAATGCACATCGATTGTAAACAGTCTTATGCCTCAGCATCCACGTGAAATGTGGGAGACCTTGCATGCAAATTGACCGATCATTTATGATGCCACCCTGATTCTTTGGCATCCACTAGTCGAGGAGTGGCTATGCAATTAAAATGAGAGGCATTGATCTCCCCGGCATACCACATCCGGCTTGTATTGCAAGCAAGCTCTCCAGCATGTGTGTTTCACATGGGTGCTGACATGGCTGAGGCATAAGACTGTTTCCGATTGACATACTCAGTCAGTTCAAAAAGGTGCAAAAAAGCTGAACTTTAGAAATCTCCTATACTTTAGTACACAGCAAGTGAGGGAAAAAAAGCTGAAATCCACAACAAAAACTGCTGAAATCAGCTTTAAAGCTGAGATTTCACACCCCTGCATACTTTTTGAACGTGGTGCTGGACTTCCTCCACGTGTTATGGACAAACTACACATGGAAACTTGATGAGATTTAAACACATGAACTTTCTTTAGTTTTATAAAATTTAAGAGTGGCATCCAATTGCTTTTAAAAAATGAAAGGAATTCTCCCCAGTGCGGCATACCCTCATCCAGCTTGTATTTGCAAGAAAGCTCTTGTGTGTTTCACGTGGGTGCTGAGGCATCATACAACTGTTTCTGATCGACGTACATTTTTATTGTGGTGCTGGACTTCCTTGACCTGTTGTGGAAAAACTATACCGATGGGAAATTTGATGAGATTTACACATGATGTTTAACTGATAGTATGCTTTAGTTTTACACAAGCTCTGGGTGGCATCGCAATCAGTTTAAAAATTAGAGGCATTATCCTGGCTAATAATATTAGTAATATTACTGCGTCCCACTAGGTGAAGCATTACTGCAGTTATCGTTTAGCCTTCACACAAAGACCAAGTCCATTCTTTTTACAAGTCAGCTTAACCCCTAATTCCCTAGTATCTTTTACTAGGAACTGGACCAATTCCATCAAAAGCCATCAATCAATGTGCGTCTAATACAAAACTGAACATAATGGAATCCACCACTGACGCACTGGTTGACATTCATGGACTTGCTACACATGGCTTTTATCACAATAGCAGTACAGGAAGCTGAGGCAAAATCAATTGGATACCCCTAGCACTGCTTCACGTTGAGGCCATTAGGCCTAAGTCCATCATACTCCATCAATATTTAGTCATGCTAGGCCTTCTGGCATGTCTGGACCCCAAAATCCACCAAAATGGGGCAATGGATTTTGATGGAGTTGGGGTGGTTTGGCTAAATTCCCTGTTTATTCAACATCTTCAAATTAGTTATCATACAGCCAATCATGCTCTGCCGTACTCAAAAAAAAAAAAAATTCTAACACTACTATTCTAAATTACAATATTTCTCTCGCGATTAACATTTTGTTTTATTTGATGTCCGTTATGGAGCACCATAGTGGTGAATGCTGTGCATGAATCTGGGGAAAGAATGTAGTATTCGGATGCCATGCGCGCCACTTCAGCAGTCGTGTACATAGCCCCATAAATGTGGCAAATTTACTGGACTACCTCCGTAAAAGGCCACACTTCCACCATGTACAGAAACATGTCAAACACTGTCAAATTTTGATTTTCACATTTAGGCTTATTTGTAGTGTATTTTTGCTTTAGAAGCATATTCACCCCCTCAGGCTAATCAGAAGTGCTGCCTTTTTCAGATGTCTAATTTTCGTCGCAAACGTGTCCAAACGAATCTGGACATTTCACTAAAACTAGACGGAGAGAATAGCCTTCTAATTCTAGAAGTACCCAGCAAACAGGACGCTCAGGGAAGGGCTGATGAATTCACGCTCTGATTGGATAGATTTTGCGTGACCTGTGACCTGCAAGTCATCACGGCCACAACTCTGCACAGTTTTAAACAGCCATTAAGTAAAGACTGAGCAATGATTCATTGCTTTTTAAAATATTCACGACATTCATAAGGCCGAGGGAATGAAAGTCAAAGAATACCGTCCTGCTGTTTTTGAAAAACAATGAGAACTATTTTTATCATTCATTATTCATTATTCTGAAGCACTAACCAGAATTTAAGATAGTGTTTGGAAAAACGGCCACAGGCAGTCATTGGTATCATGCAGCGCTAGTGAGTAGTGTTGGTCATGCTGGTAACCGCGCACTATACATTGTATGCACGTATTGATATACCGCGTGTTCACCATACTCTGTACGCGTGGGCAGATTGGGTTTCGTGCCAATGTGGTACACAGAATACAACTATTCTGGGAAAAAATTCTGTACTCGGACGTCACTTTTTTCAATTAATTTTCTAGTGCCAAAAGTTACATCTTTTATGGTTATTCCTCCACTTTCCCTCCTCTACTCTCACCCTCTCCTTTCCTTAATTTCTATTTATTAATCAGTCAGTTACTTCATCGGGATTCGAACCTCTGACGCTTGCTTGATACACGAGACTCTTAACCGCTAGGCCGCGCACGATCGCTGTTGCAATAATCAATCTTTGGACGTATTTGAAGTATCCATTGAAATAAACTAAATATTCATGAGAAAATAAATATTCATAATGACGTATTGCACTATCATTGGCAGGCTCATGCGACGTCATGGTTGTTGATGTCACGTGTATAACGTACCGCTGTCTTTCAGCCACTACAATCAGTTTTGAATGGCTGCTTCAAGTTAGTTCTGCACGA